ATTTGTGGTAATGCGAAAATAACTCCTTCTGTTGTTCTTTCACGCTAAACGGCTGAACGGATTTTGAAGAAATTTGGTATAAAGGTAGTTGGAGTCTTAGAAAAGCAAGGCTTTACCGCTGCAGAACTTCTCATTCCCACAGAAAAATCTAAAAAGCGCGATATAACCGAATTCCACGAGCGAACAGCTATTTGTTTCTTTGCCTCTCTTAAACGGCAAAACGGAGGTACTACCCTACTAACCTACTTAACGTGATTTTTTAACTGAATGTAGTTGAAGGGGTGGATAGTCACATAGGCTTCTTTTTATCTTTTTTTGACGCGAGCGAAGCCGCGGGTAAAAGCTAGTGATGATTATAATCCGCTCGCTCTGTAGGTTTGATTAGTCAAGTGTTATTTTTTCTAGGTAGATATTATTATCTAAAGTAACTAGTACATAAGTAGTTATTTTATTTTTCGGCGTTTTTATTAGCTTTGTTTATTTATTGTTTACGTTGGTTGATACAGTAGCTATATATTATAATTTATATTAGTTAGGTTAGATTAGTGAAGTGGTTTGGTTGGTTTATTTCTAACTAGCTGTTGCCCGCGACTTCGTCCGCGTAGATTAATGACTTCTGACAGAATTAATCAGAATCAATTCAGTGCCCAAGTAAGATTTACCTATTTTAAAATGATTTATCGTAGTTTCAATAAATAAATAATCCCGCAGGATCTTACCAGTACAGTGCCCGATCACGTAAGGTTTGAGTAATAAAAACTATTCTATCGACTATGCTATTGTTGTACCGAATCTCTCTAGAATAAGTTCAGTGGTTAAGAGTTAGAGAGTCCTGGGGCATTGACGCATAGTTCCCGTTCTCGTGAGACATCTGTGAAAAAACCATCATACGTTACCCAGGTCCTAAATCATTGTTTTACCGAATGTAATTCAAAAAGATTCAATGATTCTAAATTCAACGGCTAAGAAGATTTATACAAACTCTCATTCCCTATTTTATCCCCTTTTTTTTTTTTTTTTTTTTTTAAGGGGGGAAAATCATCGAATGACTGCTCCCGCCCGGGTGAGGCGGAAGGGAGTGTCAGACTCTTACTGACTAAAAACCACCCCGTTCCTTCTCCTGCACGTCGAGCCGGAGCCCCGGTTACCCGTTAGGTTCTCCGCGACTCCGAATCGGCATCGGCCCTATTGGGCCCCATCTGTGGTGGTCTGATGGCTCTTTGAGGCGCGCGCGGAACGCGACGCGCCGTACGCTCGGGTCTGTTTCTGGTCGGACGGGGAGCCACCCATGCTCGCCGTCCGCAGGCCCGCGCTTACGGTGGCCGGAGATCGTCCCGCGATCCCCGACGCCCGGTGTGTCCTTCGCGATGGCTGGGTTGCGAGGAGGCAGCGCTTCGCTGCCTCACGCGTCCCGCCTCCTCCTTAGCCAGCATGACTGCTTCGCAAAAGGAGGAGACGGCATCCCAGTCCCCCTCGCTCCGCATCATGGCCTGAACTAGGCCCGGACGCGAGAGGTCTCCATCGCCGATCACTTCCCTGAGGGCACGGCGGTGCTCAGCCCACGCAGGGCATTCCGCAACAGTGTGTTCCACCGTGTCCTCAGGGTGGTCCTCGCAGTGGTGACACCCGGGCGTTTCCTCCCGCCCCATCAGACACAGGTACCTCCCGAAACTTCCATGTCCGGTGAGGACCTGCGTCAGGCGGTAGGTGAGGACGCCGTAGCGTCTCTCAAGCCACTCCTCAAAGAGGGGACTTACCGCTGCAATGGCAGCGAGCCCAGCCCTCGGTTGCGACAGTCGTTGCTGCCATTCCGCCATGAGATCGCGCCGGAGCTCATCCCGCCACGCACTTATCTGGCGCGGCAGCGGAGTTTCGCCCCGGCGACGTGCCTCCGCGCGCATGCGATACACGCGCGCGAGCACCTTCGCCTCCAGATCCCACGGCGGTAATCCGGCAAGGAGGTTCGCCGACTCCCCAGAGATCGTGCGGTATCCGCGGATCATTCGGATCGCCATGACCCTCTGTGCCATAAGCAGCGCCCGAGCGGGCCGCTGCAGCAGGTTCGGCGCCCAAACAGGGGCGCCGTAGAGGGCCATGGACCGCACGACCCCGGCGTATAACCTCCGGCAGGAGGCGCCAACTTTGGAGCCAAACGTCGGAAGTGCTCCACGAAGTTCCATCGACTGTCGAGGACGAGTCCCAGGTACTTCATCGCCGTCTCGACGCCGATGGTAACCCCTCCCGCCATTATTTGAGACCCACCAGGAGGTGGCGCATTCCCGCGGCCATGAAAACACATGGCCTCGGACTTGTGGAGCGCCACCTCGAGTCCCAACTGCATTTTATCCCCTTAGGGCTGGAATTTATCAAAATCCTTTCTAAAGAGATACCTATGTCATAGTAACTTTATGCATGCAAAGTCTCAGCCCGATCAATTTAAAACTGGCAAAGTATCATACAAACTTTCACCCCCTATTTTACCCACTTTGGGGTGAGAATGTTCAAAAACCTTTCTAAAGGGACGTTTACGTCATAATATCCATCTGCACGCCGAATTTCAACCCGATCGGTGTAAAACTGACAAAGCTTCATACAAACGTTCATCCCCTATTTTACCCCCTTAGGGGTGGAAATTATCAAAATCCTTTCAAAGCGGATGCTTACGTCATAACATCTATCTGCATGCCAAATTTCAACCTGATCGGTTTAAAACTGACAAAGGCTCATATAAACTTTCATCCCCTATTTTACCCACTTGGGGGTGGAAATTATCAAAATCCTTTCACAGCGGATGCTTACGTCATAACATCTATCTGCATGCCAAATTTCAACCCGATCGGTTTAAAACTGACAAAGTTTCATACAAACTTTCATCCCCTTTTTTACCCCCTTGGGGGTGGAAATTATGAAAATCCTTTCAAAGCGGATGCTTACGTCATAACATCTATCTGCATGCCAAATTTCAACCCGATCGGTTTAAAACTGACAAAGTCTCATACAAACTTTCATCCCCTATTTTACCCACTTGGGGGTGGAAATTATCAAAATCCTTTCACAGCGGATGCCTACGTCATAACATCTATCTGCATGCCAAATTTCAACCCGATCGGTTTAAAACTGACAAAGTCTCATACAAACTTTCATCCCCTATTTTACCCCTTGGGGGTGGAAATTATCAAAATCCTTTCACAGCGGATGCCTACGTCATAACATCTATCTGCATGCCAAATTTCAACCCGATCGATTTAAAACTGACAATGTCTCATACAAACTTTCATCCCCTATTTTACCCCCTTAGGGGTGGAAATTATCAAAATCCTTTGAAAGCGGATGCTTACGTCATAACATCTATCTGCATGCCAAATTTCAACCCGATCGGTTTAAAACTGACAAAGTTTCATACAAACTTTCATCCCCTTTTTTACCCCCTTGGGGGTGGAAATTATCAAAATCCTTTCTTAGCGGACGCCTACGTCATAACATCTATCTGTATGCCAAATTTTAGCCCAATCTGTCCAGCGGTTTGGGCTGTGCGTTGATAGATCACTATGTCAGTCAGTCAGTCAGTCAATCACCTTTGAATTTTATATATATAGATTAGATGTCTAAAGTAGTTGGGTTTTCTATAATAAAACGTATAATATAGTGTGCATGATAAAAATAAGTTTTGTTTTGTAACCTGGGGTTGGTACCTATAAGTATTTAAGGTTACGAAAGCACCAATAACTTAATTTTTTGTTTGTGTCAATCAAGTGGGTCAAAAAGTTTAGTTTAGAAAAAGTTATTTTATGAAATATTTTATTTTGAGAATACTTTACAGATTACAGAAAGTTTTGTACAAGTATACTTTACAATGTAGTTCGTCATGTTTTGTATTTTTGATATTTTTCTTTCTGTTAACTTTATTGTCGATGTGTCCTTAGTATTTAAGACTGATTGTACTTTCTGAAATTTTTGCAAAGTTTTAATTATAAGGGAGGAATATTGTGCGACACCGATGTGTTGACATTTTTTATGTGTTTTCAAGTGCGTAGCTGCGCCTGCGACCCTATAGCGTTAGCACCCCAGTCGTCTCCCAGCTTTGGTGTTAACCAGTAATATTTTGTAATTTTTGTAGTTTTAAATTAGTTGTGAATTGTGTATTTACTAAGACAATATAAATACAAAGTTTTACCTATTTTATATTGGACTATCATTGAACACATGAACTATACAGGTGTCAAGTGAATTTAAATAAGAATACACACCACATATTAAAAATCATACAATTAAATCAAATTTTAAGATTCCAACGAAATATAAATGCTAATGCAATTAATAGAATGAGCTTTAATATAAGTTTTTAATTCCCAGCCTCTCCTAAATTTTACAAGGAACTCCGAAGCTAAGAGGGCATTTAACGATTTTGATTTTCACTTACCTACCTCTTAATTGACACTAAGTAGGTAAGTTTAGGGATGTGAAAATGGCCATTGATTCCTAATTCATATTGGAGTGTATGAGTGGAAAGTGGGATGCTCTCCGAGAAGGCATAGCGACGTCCATTCAAGAAGATGGGATCGCCGAAAACTTGGTCTGTAATGCACTTGTGGTGCTTCTGGTGCTGAAGGGAGAATTAAGAAAGTTGTTGCTAGATCTTTGTCAAATGTGTGTCACAGTTTAAGTGTGGGAAAGCCATGCTTCGGCACGAATGGGCCGGCTCGACCGGAGTGCGACGTGCCACAGAAAACCGACGTGAAGCAACGCTTGTGTTGTGTTTCGTCGTGTGAGTGAGGTTACCGGAGGCCCAATTACCCTGCCATTCCCCAATCTCCCCAATTCCTGAATCCCCAACGATCCTCAAATTCCTAATCCCCAAAAGGCCGGTAACGCACTTGTAATGCCTTTGGTGTTCCAGATGTCCATGGGCGACGCCGATTGCTTACCATCAGGTGTTCCGTCTGCTCGTTTACCGGCTTACGCCATAAAAAAACCAGTTTAACTGGTTATATTGTACTTACGTGGTTTTCTCAGAGATGTTGTGTGTCATACGGATGGCCACCCATCCTAGGACTTTCTTCGTCGGCGCATACGACGCGTCGTAGTCGCTCTTATTGTATACCTAGGCAGTAGGCAGTTTAGTAATTATTTTAGGTACTATTAAACAAATGGTAGTGATGTCTATCTAATTATCTATCTAGCCTTATCTAGGTTCTTCAGCCCGTCCGTTGTCATCAACATTTAAATATTATTGCACTATAATTAAAGAGTCGTCCTTTCTTAAAGTCAAGTCAAATGTCAAAAATCATTTATTTCAATTAGACCAGGAAGGCACTTTTGAACGTCAGCAATAGAAATTTAAAAGTGAAGCTATTTGCTCATTCCAAGGTGTAGATTCCTACGGAGAAGAACGAGCAAGAAACTCCATAGGTTACTCTTTTCCAATCAGTTTCACAATACAATTCTTCAGTTACACAGTTTTATTGGTTTGATTGTGCGAGAACAATGTAACACCAAATCTAGCCAGAGATCGAAAAAGAAAATAACCCTTAAAGACAATAAATAATACAGTCTGGAGCTGACCAGTCACAGTTGACGGCGCCCGTTCACGAACATGACACGTACACCAGCACCGCCCAACTCAACCATATTGCAGGGAATCTAGCGACCCAATGCACGTGCCACCGCCAATTGGATCTTTGAGTGAACATGACAACTCCAAGCTGACATAAATGCATTCTACTAGTCCAATTTAATATTTAGTTAATTACAGAACTCTCACATTAACAATGATTATGCAAGTTAAACTGTCAAACACCAAGCGGTCAACGGTGACCGCGACCTATTGTTCTTTAATTGTGTCTATAAAACCGGTACTCGACGAGTTAAACAATATACATTTAAGCAACTACGTTGTAATATTTAGGTTGAATTTCATTGACACATCAATGTTTTTCGTTATCCCGTGGAGCTGGACCAGCGTGCATCCAAGCATTTTTATCTTCTATATAATCATTAATTGTGTAATATGCTTGTCTACATAAAGTTTTTTTTTATACATAATTTAAACTTCATTTCATTTAGGTGCTGTATATCGCTTGGTATCTTGTTATAACATTTAACACAGAATCCCATGAACGATTTACCCACTTTCGCCAATCTCAAAATTGGCTGACTTAATCTATCCTTATGTCTAGTTAGATAGTGGTGTCTGTCCGACACTTTACCAAATAACTGTAGATTTTTCCTAACATACATAATGTTTTCATAGATAAATTGACATGGAACGGTCATAATGTTGATCTCTTTAAACCTCTCTCTGAGAGATTCGCGACGACCTAGGTTGTAGATAGCTCTGACGGCGCGCTTTTGTAAGATAAAGATAGACTCAATGTCAGCAGCGTGTCCCCACAGCAGAATGCCATACGACATAATGCTATGAAAGTAACTGAAGTACACTAGTCTTGCCGTGCCTATGTCGGTCAACTGTCGGATCTTCCAGACAGCATAAGCTGCAGAGCTCAATCGTCCCGCTAAAGATGTAATATGAGGACCCCATTGCAGTTTGTCGTCTACAGTAATCCCCAGAAAAGTAGTCTCTTTTACAAATTCTAATTTCTCATCATTCAATAATATGTCACATTCGCTGCTTTTAACATTTGGCAAAACAAATCTAATACATTTTGTTTTTTTATCGTTTAATACTAAATTATTTAATGTAAACCAATTTTGAACCTTCATTAAGGCGTTATTTACATCGTCATAATTATTTGTCCGTCTATTCATTTTAAAAACCAATGAAGTGTCATCAGCAAATAAAACCATATGTGGCTCATTTTTAAATAAATGGGGTAAGTCATTTATGTATGTTAAAAATAAGAATGGACCCAGTATCGAGCCCTGCGGTACACCCATAGATATGCTAGCACCCTGTGAGTTTATTTTGTTTATTTGTACTTTGAGTACTCTTTTACATCATCTTTATATACAAATGAGCGATGTATGTATTTCTACATATTAAAATAACTACCTAAATAGTTTCCCCACCATAGCGAAATTAAGCGTTGCTAATAAGTAAAATAGTTTTAAAAGTATAGGCAGAGTAGTAGATCAGTAGGCTGCGTGACATCGCCGTGACCGCGCACACTGCTCATGAGGAAGAACCCCTCTGTGGTTCAAAACTAGTAGAGCTTTTGTCAGTATATTCACGTGAGTAACCCGCGATTTTTAGTTAATCCTTCGACTGCCGACAAAAACTGTTAAAATGGAATCCTCCACTAGCGTCAGGCATCATTGTCCGACACGGCGTCCATTGTGTTAATGTAATTACGAACTTATATTTATAAATTCTAATTATAAAATCGCCAACCCATATTGAGCAAGCGTGGTGATTAATGCTCAAATCTTCTCCGTGCGAGAAGAGACCGTTGGTCAGCAGTGGCCACTTATAGGCTGTTGATGATGGAAGATTTACGACTCGTAATATTATATCTGACTTTAATCAAACCCAGTAGGTATCAGTAACACGCTTGTGAGCCTATCAATAATAACAATGTGAAAACTCTTTCCAAAAAATAAATTCTAAAGATAAATATATCTTACTCGCTCATCAATCCTTTGTTTTAATTTTTTCTTGAACAAAAATTTTCTATAAAGAGACGTCATGTTGCAACGACTCGAGATTTCTTTATGTTTGTATCAAAGTACTGTTGAGTTATAATTATGTATTGTGTAATTAAGTTAATTACATAATAGGTACTGTGTGAAAAACACAAACCTTTCTTTTAAATTATGGTCGTATTGCTTTGTATTAGAGTCGGTGTACACATTGTTTAGTCATTTTCAGCCTAGTTAAGTACTTTATGCAAGTTGAATGGACTGACGTGATCGACGCGGTATCACACATATTATTATGTGTAACTGGGTACTTACCAACTAGTTAAAATCAATACCTTTTTTCGAACTGCCAGAAACTGCAGTTTTCTAGAGGTTCTACATTTTGAACTAGATTATACATTTTGACGTCACGTTTTTTTAGCGCTAAAAAGTATACTTACTTATTTCCAAAAAGAAATTGCTGGAAAAATACTAAAATTAAGTTGGTCATAAAATTAATGAATGAAGGTGTGATAATTTTTTAATATTTCATTGTATTGAACAGTCAAAACAATTTATTTTGATTAAGGAAAGTATGTACTTTTAATTTCGCTTCCAAAGTTTAAACCACGCTCACTCGCTATGCTCAGTAAGAATTGTGTGAGATAGCTTACAGAATGTTAACATATAGAGGTACATACCTATTAGCACCACTCCTTTTAACTCCTGAAGGAGCAGGCACAATGTTACACCATTAACACCCATTGCGACCAGTTAGGTACTTACGTTATGAGGAACGTGAGCAGACGTCCCGTTTTGAAAGGGACTGTTCCTTCTTATGTTCAATTACGAGCCCCGTTGTCCCCAAAATGCATTGTGGGACGCTTTGTCCCGTTTTCGGACATCGTGCAAATTTTAATAGTAAGAACGTATGTGACGACCATTCGGATGGCTCAAGTGGTGTGCGAGAGCGATACCTACAGCGTCATACAGAATTCATGCATAGTTTTATAATGAAGTAGGTACAGTCGAAAAAACTATAAGTAGTAACATTAATGTTATCCTATTTGTTGTGGGCACAAAGTTCGTGTTTACAGGTTCTATAATAGGATCTAGCTACAAGATGCCTGACTGAATCTAAATAAAGAAATGCCCAATTTTGATAAAAAAAATGGTCATGTTGAGTATCCTATGGCTCCCATGTAGGAAAGGGTAGGTACCCTTTACCAAACACCGGGTGCAATTCCAAAATCGATGAATTTACGAAACCTGAAACATAAATACTCACTCAGTAATGCCGATGATGTACTTAAATTCTTCTAGCTGCAACATAGTTGTGCGCCTATTCTTAAAAAAGTAGTTATCCGCGCATATTATTATTGTGTCACTACAGACACGGTAATATTTGATATTTTTATTTGTGTATATCATTAAACCCCAGCCGCCATAATTAAATACTTTCTTATAATTACACAACCCTTCGCTTCGTGGACGACATCTAATATTTATGAACAACAGATAGCAATTGTTGCATTAAAAATTAATTTAGGAAAAATAACGAATGGCAGAAATTAATTATTCAAACTGCTTGTATAACTTAATAAATTATTAATATACTTATAAAATAGATTGTGTCGTGAGAATGAGAGTAAGGCTCGCTTTTGTATTGGATATTAAGGATCGCTTTTAGAATCGCGTGTTTAAGGTTTAAAATTCCTTTTTTGATAGATGACTGTAGGCAAGTACCCAATGAAGTCCTATGTACGTTTCATTTACTTACAAATCTATATTTCCTGAAGGGTATAACCTGGGTGTCTTCAAGGCCTGAGTGAATAGGTTGCTTATGGGACGACGTGATCCATCGTAGACCGCATCATCGCTTACCACCAGGCGAAATGTGGTCTCATGTCAGTCAATCAAATATATAAAAAAAAATCTTAACGAAAGATAATCACACCACATTAACAATCTGACAGTCTACTGGTGGACTAGGAGCCTCCTGTAGATTATCTCCTCCCTTGCCAGGTGAGTTGGACATTGCAGTGTGAGTGAGGTTACCGGAGATCCAATCTCTAACCCCTTTAAAGGCCGGCAACGCACTTGTAACGCCTATGGTGTACATGGGCTGCGCCGATTGCTTACCACCAGGTGATCTGAATGCTCGTTTACCGGCTTATCCCATAAAAAGCTATATTGCTGTTAAATTAATAATGATGGGGTCAGATTTTTTTAAATCTGACGTTTCTCCTCACTCCATACAGATATCATTATTTGTGTTACTGCATGTTGCACTGAAACAAAGTTGCGCGTCATGTGTGCGAAGTTGTGCAACGCTACGGAACATATCGAGCGTCACGATTTGCGATCAAATATTATCACTAGACATCAGATCTGCTCAAAATAAACAAAGCCAAATTGGTCGTGTGCCAAAACGACTACAGTACGTAACATACTATGGAGAGAAGTCCTAGGTTTTCGTATAGTAATCCTAAATCTAAGACCTGGACGGGAGTGACAGTGTTCTCAGCTTACCTAGTGCTTCTTATGGTGGAAATATACATAGAGATATTTGAAAACGGTACGCATTTGCGCATTTACAATAATATAGTGCAATATTGGAAATAAATGAAATGAATCCACAGAAGCATCAACCTGAATCAGTCCAGTGGTGGAGTATGAGCCTCGTTTACATACAGAAGATTGTCACGGTTGACAGGCGAATTAGGGGTCGCAGTTTAAAGGTCCAGGCATATCTGAGAGCAGTGCAGTCAAATTCGTAGCTACTAAAAGTGAGGGGCATTTGTTGTTATTGCGTCTCGTCGCAGTGTCGTTTTCCTTATATTTTTATTAGCTTTTACCAGCGGCTTCGTTCGCGTCACAAAAGGATACAAAGTAGCCTATGTGACATATACCAATACATACAGAGTGCCATCTATACCAATACTTTTGTTTTCCCTCGGAAATATCAAAATTTTTTCGGGATAAAAAGTACCCTATTATTTAATCTGGACTTCTAACTTTACGTCTGCAAAAATTCAAAGTAATCGGTTTAGTAGTTACGGCTTGAAGTCGGAACAAACAAACAAACAAACGAACAAACAAACTCACTTTCCGATTTATAATATTTGTAAGGATAAGGATGACATACCGTTGCGTCGTCATGAACGTCGAAACGCAGCGCATCGGACAAATGGGGGCTCACATTAAGGCGGCTCTTAAGACATCGTCACCACAAGAACGTATGAAGTAGAGATACGCCCATCCAGTAAGAAAAGAAAGGATGTTTTTAAAACATTTGTCTTGGAATCAAGATCAAGGATTATGAACTTGCATACCTACATATAAGAGATCATTTTCCATCACAATATAGCATACAGAGTCCAATTAACCTTTCGTGTCTACAACATGGATCCACGCGGGACTCAATGTATTTTCTATTGTCTTATGAGACACTTGTAGCGGTGCAGAGCACTCGAACCTTATCTCAAGGCGCGAGCGAAATCGTTCCGCTCGATGACAGTGTGAACGCACCTCAAAATCACGCCCCCTCAAGAGATCCTTTCTTCGGACGTTGTTAGTGTGTTAGTAGTGGAATTAAACTTGAGACAGCGCCCTAGACAAGCACACCCCTAATTTTTTTGGCGTCGCCTCCACTCTATCGCCAACTGCGCAACTGGGCACGCGCGTCTAGCGGCGCCCCCCTGTAACCTAGCGCCTTAAACACTTGTCTTGTTTGCCTTACGAGATACTACGGCTGATCTCATAACGTTGAGTATGAGACGGAGAAATCTGTACATCAGGGTGCTTACTCTTGAAACCAATCTCATTCTCAATGCAATTTCAATTCAATAAAATCTCAATAATTATTTAATGTCAAAACTATACAACCCGTATCGCAGCTGTGAAAATAGCATTCAGAGTACGGACTATAAAGCCAAACTCAATACTATTTAGTTCATTCAATATCCACGCAATATGGATTCAATGGGCGCTAGTCTTGGGACTCGAAGAGTACAAAATATCACAATACCAATGTCGATCGTTCGAAATTGGATTCAAGAGCAAGCTCCCAGGTAATACCAAGATTACTAACTAGATTGTAGTGGAACTATTTGTGTGGAAACATTTGGTGAAATGAAAACAGTGTTGGGACCAGAAACAGCAGAACTGCGCTACGGGGTCTAAAGAAACAAGAAAATCTCTTTATTGGGCTCTTTAACCTGTTTGTATTAGGTAATTTGTTCACTGAGGTTTTTGTCATTGTAATTTGCATCATACTTCAAAGTTATAAAGGCACTTTTAGTTTAGACTAATTTCCCGCAAAACAAACTGTATAAAAATATAAAATACTACATGAAAAGAACCACAATGTAATTCCAAACTTTTTATTAAAAGTTTAAATAAATACAATTTGAATTCAGAAGTTTGATTACTAGCAATTTAGGTGTTACATGCCCAAAGAAAACCCACTAATATCATACCATAGTAATTTAATCATCGACATCACACAACATCACAATATTTACAGTACTTCCATACTTCTGCATCTTTGGGTTAGTTTGTATAAATACTTTTCGACATTACTTATGCTTGCTACCTGTAACACAACGCAGCTTGTTAGAACATGATTCTATACAAAAATGCGCTATTACAAGTGATTTTACAACAACATAATAATATATGGATAATTATCTATTTCGTTCAAATACATAATATTAAGTCAATCATTCTAACAGGCCGGGCCTTGAGCCTTACTTTATTTATACTGTTCGGTAAGTTAACTATTTCTACAAATAGCCTAACTTAAGTCGCGGATACTACAATATCCACATTTACAATTTAGAAGAGAGTTCAACAAACCAGTAATACTTGTGTGAATGTTATTCAAATATCTACTACAAATAATGATATTAATATATTTATTTATACTAGAAAGTGTCAATATTACACGATTAAAACATGACATGTTGTAGTATTAGATCATCATGACTTCATACTTGGAAATAAATAAATAAAGGAATAAAATAACAACTTTGCAGTCAATCATGATGATTTTGGACATCACATCGATATCTGACAGATGGCAAATTTCCCGATTGGTTTGAATAGGCAACAAACAACCAATTGTGATTAGTTGTTTATTGTCTATGTGCCATTCAACAAGAAATAACCAATCACAGTGCTTGAAATCAGTTGTCATTTTTGACAGCTCATTACAGCAGACCAATCAGACACCAATGCAACGTCAGCCATTGTCTTTACGCGCGTAATATTGCCACAGATTATAGCAAGGCCCGACCGCAAATTATGTAAAATATATTTACTTGACGAATTTTTCTCCTTTTTCAATGTTCTTTTTGAGTTCAGGCATGGCTAACTGCAGGAGTTTTTGTTCGTATGCGTTCAGCTGTCCGTAGCCGAGGTTCTTGGCGATACCGTTCTTGCCGAAGCAAATTGGGTTGGCAAAGTATTTCGCTTCAGTCACATCTGACTTCACGTAGGCGCACTCGACTACATTTTCTTCGCCCTGTGAGAGAAATGAATGTTGAATAAGTTTTAAAACAAGAGTTAACACAGACGGCGTTTTTTGTTTAAGTTACGTTTACAACTTACTGACTGGAAGACAATACCCAAGGCATTAATACCTGTACACACTTGTTGTATTAATTAAAACATAAAACCAGTGGAAGCGAATAGTTAACTAGTTAGTTAGTAAAATAGGTAATTTCATTGCAACAGTTTGTCCCTGAATACAGATATACAGTTTTACAAATGACTGCTTTACATACCTTGAGTCCTCTAAGGACAGAGTGCGTGAACATGGCACCAGACCAACCCATGGACAGTGTGGCAGATCCAGCACCAGCCTTAGCCTTCACTACCTGTACGAAAAAAAGTAAGATTACATAATTATGTGTTAGATTACATTTGTCATATGAAATCAAGACTTACTTAAATGTGACTATGATTTTAATTAATTATATCTTTAAGAAAATGAATTTCTAACAAACCTCGGTACCAGCTTCTTGAATCCTCTTTGTAAGGGCATCGATCTTGGCCTGCTCCTGGATCTGGGGGGCGGGCTTGCATTGGGACAGCACAGGGATGATGGTGACTCCAGAGTGGCCTCCGATGACAGGGATCTTGACAGTTTTAGGATCCACCCCGTTGATTTGACCGATGAAGGTGCGCGACCGTACGATGTCCAGGGTGGTGACACCGAAGATGCGGTTGGGGTCGTATACTCCGTTCTGGAAGTAAATGCATGATTACAAAACGTGGTTCAAAAGTGCCTTCCTGGTCTAATTGAAATAAATGTTTTTGGTTTGACTTTATACGGGTCGAATACTTGTTACGTTGGCTAGACATCAAGCTGATAAAGGGCTTGTACACAAAACTACGATACGAATTCGCAACGCAAAAAATTACGATTCGAATTGCTGCGATGCGATTTCGTGCGATAAGGCGTCTCCCAAGATGACCTGATTCCTTCGACGACCGTCAACCGAACTAAACGTATTTTAAATTGAAAACTAGGTCGTGACATGGGTCATAAAAAGAAGTGTGCACTTCTGTTATTGCTTAGGAGATACAGGAAAAAGAAACAAAGGAGATTTTGGGAAGATAAGATTTTGATGCGCGATGCGAATCAATTCGCAAGTTCTTGCGAAACGTAGAGACAGCTCGCACATTTGCATTTTGCGATGCGCCGTCGCATCGCAAAAACGCAAAGGTAAAATATTTTTTTCAATGGGTATGAAAGTTTCAGAGCCTATTTAATTCAAACAAGTAAAAATTCAAATCTTTCCTCTTTATACTATTAGTGTGTACTAATAGATTACAAAGTATCCAGCAGCTAAACTAATTAAATTATTGACTTCTGTCTGTTACTAGGTGCCGGCTTACAGTACCTATGTAAGCCAGGCAGACATAATATGTACATGTTAGGTAGGTAGGTACTAGGGGGCACAGCAACGAAGCCGCGAAAGACTTCGGTTGCCGGGGCTCCGGCTCGAAGTTCAGAAGTAGAAACAGGGTGATTTATAGTCAGTAAGAGTCTGACACTCCTCGGCTGACCCGGGCGGGATTAAAGAAACAGAGCCACTATTCACTCACTAAACGGACACACTACCATTTTCGTTTTCATTTTACCGAACCTCCTATACCTTAAAAATAATCCTTTTACAATAAAATGTTCTCATTTTAAAGTTAACTGAATTCTCGTATATAAGACATAGTAGCACGGAGTCTGGAATTGTGCCCGGTATATGGCAATAGGCTCACCCCCTACTACATGGGACTCATAACATAAATAGTGAAAAGTGGGTGTTACATTGTACAGTGGCATAATGTGCCCCTCTGCTTACCACTTCGGGGATAAAAGGCGTGACGTTATGTTATGCTAAATTGCCTTTTATATGACATACGTTACCAATTAGTAAAATACTTGAATGAGAAAATATTATCACGAAATGAAAATGAAAAAACGCTAGTGGCTCCGTTTGTTTGCTCCCAAGTGTATAATGTTATCAAGTGGCATGTGCTATTGTTCGTCGTGTAAACATGAGAAGCCAAACGAACAAGTGTCATTTTGCTCGGCTTGTACAACAGTAGGGTAGCTGGTAGGTATGAACATTCAAAATCTAATTAGTCCATCAGTTAGATCAGGGCTGTCCCAAACTATATACCCTTTTTTAAGGGGGGAAAATCATCGAATGACTCCTTCCGCCTGAGTGAGGCGGGAGGGAGTGTCAGACTCTTACTGACTAAAAACTATCCCGTTCCTTCTCCTGCACGTCGAGCCGGAGCCCCGGTAACCCGTTAGGTTCTTCGCGACAAAAACTATATACTCTTGCGGGTAATTAAATTTCTAAAAAAAAACTGTAAGGCCCGAAAAAAAAGTATTTTCACGTTGTACAATGACGTTTAACGTTGTACTCTTTACTCACAGACAAAATTTTTATACAAATCATACACTGATTTTTATTTTTCTTGTTGCACATAAGATGAAGATGTTGAGATTAAAACGTGTGTCGCCGGCCATATGAAAACAGGCAGACAGAACAACAGAAGTGCACACTTCTTCTTACGATCCATGTCACGACCTAGTTTTCAATTTAAAATACGTTTAGTACGGTTGACGGTCGTCGAAGGAATGGTCACTCTGGGCGACGTCCTGTCGCACGAAATCGCATCGCAGCAATTTGGATCGTAATTTTTTGCGTTGCGAATTCGCATCGGATCGCTGTTTTGTTTACGAGCCCTTAAACGAAGTCATATTATGCTTAATCGAAGCCCTGATAATAATCCATGAACGATAGGGCTCTTTCCACGCGCCAATTAAAATCATAATTACACAGAACATTAATTACTATAGTGCACAGTTTACTAAAATACTTGTTTTATCGTATGACTAATAGTTATTTCATTGAGTAATAACAATAATAATTGATAATATACTAACTATCTATTAATGAACACATCTGCTAACGATGCGCCATTCATCTTTCATAATTAAATAGTCATGTGGAGTAAGAATGATTAAGAGCTCCTATATTGAATCAAGAGTAAGTATGTATTTATCAATAAATGCTTTGTTGTAATAGTCTTACGATAAACATTCGCTGTTTCATAAAACAATGACCTAAACAGCAGCAGCAGCTGTAGCCAAATGCCACTTGGCGCTTGTCTATATGTAGAATAGAAAACTAAGTTATATGGAATTGACGTAAATTTTGACACTCGTCAGTGTCAGACAAGCGTTAAAGTGGCGTTTGGCTAAAGACACAGTGCCAGAGAGAGTATAAAACGAAATATATGGGGATGAAACTGACAAGTGTCAAAATTTACGTCAATTCCATATAATTTGGTTTTCTATTCTACATGTAGACAAGTGCTAAAGTGGCGTTTGGCTACAGCTGCAGGTGACAGAACTGGCTTCTACCAGCTCCTTCGTCTGCGTCCCCGTGTTAATCCAGATAATAATTTACCGTTGTTCCAAATTCCCCTTCAGCCATTTAGACGTGATTTGGTCACAGACTTATAATATTAGTACACACATTTGAAAGATACAAAGGAGAACAGAAAAAAAAACAGCTTTATTCTGGTTTACTTAGCAAACTTTGGAATGAACCGGATTACATAGCGATAAGATGGCAGTTAAACTGATAAAACAATCTACATACACAGGTACATTACATGATCATGGCTCTACGAAGTGTGTTTTAAAAATAAGAAAGTGAAATTTTTTAAGCAATTATTATCGAAAAAAGACATGTTGTTTATTACTCCATCACATCCAAAAAGGGTGAAGAGATCAAGATTAATTTTCGAACAGGGGTAGACATAGGCTACTTTTTATCACACGGGCGAAGCTGCTAACAGATGCAGGTATAAATTATTATTCCGCAGATTCCGCGGCCGGATTAATAATAATTGCGCTGACATTGCGCAGCACACGACGCCGACACACAGCAAGACGACAGCACAATAGTCGTGGCCATTAGTATTTAAATTTATTACTTATATACGTATTTAAGTAGGTACAGTAAGTATTTTAACTTAAAATTGTAGTAGATATTACAGTATTATTGTATTTTAATATGGGCCTTCGTTTCCAATAAATATGTAAAAAAAAATCATATTATTTAAAACTTTTCCATACACAAGATTTGAAAATATACAGTTATCAAGGGAGATAAGCATACAAGTCAACAGGAGCCGTGAGCAATAAAAACAATAACTTACAGTTCACACAAATACTGTATTGTTAATATTGTTTTGTATTTTATTTGTGTGACGTTAGTATTATTATCGATTGACCAAGCATTTGTCAACAATTTTAATGACTTCCATCATGTAGAAATTGCGTGATTTATGCCGGAATACTGAAACGTTACTCAATTTTAAGTCGTGCTTAAGTATAGTTCTATCTCTACAATTTTTTTGTAAAATGACAGAAATGGCACGATATTTGAGCACGACTTAAAATTGAGTAACGTTTCAGTATTCCGGCATTAGTCTATATTTTGCATTTAAGTATAGTATTTATTAGTTTAACCGCCGTATTCAGTTATTTATTACTTAATCAAGTCCTTAGTACAAATAAGTACAAGTTTTCTATGAATTTTGTACGAGATTGTGTATTGTGATGTCACGTATTTTTGCGTCAAACAACATACTTATTTCTTAAAAAATTGCTGGAAAAATACTAAAATTATGTTGGTCATAAAATTAATGAATGAGAGCGTGATTATTTTTTTATATTTTATTGTTTTGAACAGTCGAAGTAATTTATTTTAGATTAAGGACTTACCTTAACCAACCCAATTGTTTTCGGAATAAAATCATTACTAACGAATCGAATAGTCATTACATGATTCGGAGCACGGCTTACTAAATAAAAATATAGTTATCTAAATAGATAAACTGGTGACCATTATGAATATTGCACTTATAAGTCTATTAGTTCATCTAACTAAAAATAATTACTGTTTGATTGCGTACTGGTTTAGTAACTTAATCTATGTATATAAATAAAAATTAATTTCTATTTGCTACTCTTGCTAAAATCCGAGGATAGCTAAACAGATTTGACTAATTTTGGTCTTGAAATGTTCAGGAAGTCTAGGGAAGGTTGCTGTATGAAGTTAGCCGGGTCTGCTAGTTTTGACTAAAAAATACTCTTAGTTAAGTCACGTAAATATTATACTGAGAGAAGCTCTACTAGTTTCGAGTTACAGAGGGACTCTTACCCATGCGTAGCTAATTGGTTTAATTTTAATTTTGAGTAGTAATATTCTAATTTAAGTGACATAAGATATTCGACGCAAAACAAAATAATATGAGCTCTTTTCAATAAAATTATCATTCAAAAAATAAAACAGTTTCACTCGCCGGAATCTACGGTACAAGTTGTAAAACTTTTTTGATTAAATTGACTGATTTTTTTATACCACAACGGTGGCAAGAAAAGCCCACGGCCCACCTGATGGTAAGTGGTTACCGTGGCTTATGGACGCTTGCAACACATAGGGCATTACATGCGATTTCAATTCTTCTTCATTAACTGGTAATAAGAATTCAACATAACGATTCAATTCGATTAATAACAATGCCTATTTTGTAATTAACTTTGACATCACATTAACATACACGGTTAATTTATCCTGCTCCCGCTTTGTACGATTTTCCATTGTAACTGTGTACATAGTATATATGACATTGTCTTCGTTATCAATCACGATAGGTACTTTACTACGCGTTATCAGTAAGAGTTTGTTTGTTATCGCGCGTCTCGACTACCAAACGACGCTAGTTATTTTTTCTACAACTTCATTTCAATTTTGACGTGTTAATCCCATAAATCCATGAAACAAGTGAATTTATTTTGCAAGTAGGCTACGAAATAGCATTAATACATCAATTTTAAATAAAGATATAAATTGAAGCCGACATTTCTTAACTGACTAAATCCATGATCCATACAATGCAACTGTATAACAGTTTAACATATAGCATAACATAACATCACGCTTTTTATCCCCAAAGGGTGGTGACCAGAGGTGTACATTATGCCACTGTACAATGTAACACCCACTTTTCACTATTATTTATGTTATTGAGTCCCATGTAATAGGGGGTGAGCCTATAGCCATAAACCGGTCACAATTGTAGACTCCGTGCTACTACTGAGAATTTGTAAAAACTCAGTAGGACTTTGCCCGACCCGGGAATCGAACCCGAGACCCCTTCCCCGGCAGTCGTACTTGCGACCACTCGGCCAACGAGGCAGTCGTTTATCGGTTTAGTTGACCTTAAATGCCTTGTCTGTTATCAATTCAAAATGTCGTCCATCAGGTGATCTTTATCTCTACAATTCTTTATGCAGGAGATTGTAGGATGAATGCGTTGACATTGAATAATAAAAAAAATGTTTTGTAAATAGTAAAGAGGATTTGTGTAAATAAAAAACAAAAGAAAGAGGTCTAGCAAAAATAAAGAGAAAATCGATTCGATTCCCGCACGGAACAACTCTTTGTGTAATCCACAGATTGTTGTTCCGGGTCTGGGTGTCATGTGTATGTGATATAGTATCTTTGTAAACGCACCCACGACACAGGAGAAAATCCTAGTGTGGGGAAACGTTTTTTTAAGAAAAAAAAAATAGAAATAGAATTACTGTCAAAAATTGGACGTGGACATTGCCTTATCATAAAAAACATTTTAATAAGGATTAGAAGACCTTAACTTCGCCTTTTTAACAAATATTAATGAAGTTTCATTTAGAAATATTTCTTGAAGAACTTGATTATAGTTAGCGTGTTATCAGACTATAAAAGTTCAATGTCAAATTAATTTTTTTTTTCAGATAGCAACAGCTAACCACACAAGATTACTAAATAATTCTAAACAACTCACCTTCTTCATAACCTCGGAAGCAATGGGCACCATGGAGTTGACGGGGTTGGTGATAATACAGATGATAGCCTTTGGCGCATGTACTGCGATGCACTGAGTCAGATCCCGGACGATGGAAGCGTTTACATTGAACAGGTCATCTCTGGTCATGCCTGGCTTGCGGGGAACTCCAGCAGGGATAACCACCACATGTGCATCTGTGGGTACCAGAAGTCGGACATCTATACTAATATATATCGAGCTGAAGAGTTCGTTTGGTCAGGCTAATAACAGAATTAAATAATTATTCTTAATAGGTCCATTTATCGATGAAGGCTATAAAACATCACTGTAGGATCTAATTTTATTTGGATAACTTAACACCTAACTGCTGCCTTATCGGTCGAGTGGTTGCAAGTGCGATTGCCAGGCAAGGGGTTTCAAGTTTAATTCTCAGGTCGGGTAAAGTATAACTGGGTTTTTAAAAATTCTCAGTAGTAGCACAAAGTCTGGAATTGTGCTCAGTATTTGGCGCTAGGCTCACCTCCTATCACATGGGACTCATAACATAAATAGTGTTAAGTCGGTGTTACATTGTGCAGTGGCATTATGTGCCGTAATGTGCACCTATGCCTACCGCTATGGGGAAAAAAGGCGTGAGTTATGTTGACACGTAAAATGGTTAGACTTGAAACAAAAAGGGCTAAAACTTGACATTATTAGGCTGAAACATAGCACTAAAGTATTGTCAGAAAAGTTATAATTACTTTGCTAATAATTACATATTAGCTCAAAAATAGCTGAAAACACAATATTATGTTCTGACAAGATTGAAATCTTGTAACAAGTCTGCTCTCGGAATGAATGCAGGATATTATGTCAATTGGACATCAACATTAGTCTTATTAGACAGGACATATCATTTATTTTATTTGATTAAATAATATCTTAATGATAAATAATGTAACAACATAGCTATATTGAAATACCTAATAGTAGTTGTACTGAATTATAAAAACCTCTATAATTTTGTTTCTTTAACATTTTTAATCTGACTGAATTATAATAAATTAAATTTTAATTGACTTAGCATTAGTCAGCTATTATAATGGCTGCTACTTCAAACTGGTCCCTGTTATAATTGTTCCCACATTAGTCTAGTAAGCCAGTAGGTAAATGTTTGATATGAATTTAATATATTATTTAAGTGTGCCATGTTGGCTCATTGTAATCAGTTAAAAAAAAATTGTTGGAAAGTTGTACTTTTCCACAGAAAATACTAATTAAACAAATAGATTACAATTGTTATTCTTTTTTTTATATTGTTACTATTGACACAAAGTTCAAATTCCAACAACAGAAATAAAATATTCCATAGATCAAAAAACTTTTTTAATGTCAAGGTCATGTATCACTCAAATATTACGACACAGATTACATCGTACATGCTTAACCTTGAATTATCTAATTTTAGCGCAAAACATCAATGAACTTGAACATTTTAGGTTACGTTATGTAACATGCTAATATTTTGTACTTAGGGCAACACTCACCTGCGATGGCGGACGGCAGCTCATCGGGACCTCTGTAGCCGAGGACCTTGGATGGCGTGTCCATGTGGGACAGGTCGGCAGCGACGCCAGGGGTAAAGGGAGCGAGATCGTACAGAGCTAGCGTGCTCACCAGGGGGTCCATCTTCAGCAGCAGTGATAGAGGCTGCCCGATACCGCCAGCTGCACCGGCAACCATGACTTTGAATTGCATCTAGAGAAAAATTTATGTCAATCCAAAATTCCTAAAAAATCGTCCGGTCCTTAGAACCAGTTTTTGGACATCGAATTTTACCTCAGGGCTGGTAGAAAAGTTCTTGGCTCCATTCTGGAATGCCACTGTGGCGATGGGTCTCAGTGCACGGGAGAACATTTTGCGTCGTCTGTTTTTAGTAAAAGCCACTAATTTATGAAGACAATAGCAAGTCTACTTGACCCTGCCGACCTTTCGAAGATAACTAGTGATGTAACTTTGGTCTGTCAATTTGGAGTTGATGTCAGACGTCAACGTCATCATCTGAATCTTATGACATGAATACAGAATGAATATCACGTAATCAAGGCTAGTAAAACTCAATATAATATTACTAGCCTTAAATCAATGATATCCTTTTTATACCTTAAAGTAATGAAAATATATTAGTGTTAATGTGTTTTTTTTCTGATAAGCCCCCTTACTGAATTCCAATTATTTATTTGATATGAAAAAGAAGAGTAAACCATAGACTAGAACAATTCCACTCCGAGATTTTAATAATACTATTAGTTAAATTGGTAATAAAATGTTATGAACATTCATTTTGTTCTGGCTACCTATTTGATTTATCGAACTTTTATCGATACCTAAATTGTGTTCTTTTTAAAAATCTTTTTTGTACAACTATTTGTGACCGCCCCTCCCTAATATCAGTTTGACATCACTAAACGTCAAAAGGTGATATTTTAGTTCAAAGTGTTCAAACCAAATGACAGCTTCGTGATATGATGAAAACATTGCAGATATTCTCACAATAGTTTTGGATTTGAACTCAATCTATTTATTAAAAAGATTTTTCTCGTATTGCAGTGTATTTATTACATCAAAATGAATGTAATACAAGCGGTTAAATTGTACATTACGAGGATGACGGAGGAGAGTGGTCCGGGAATGAAAGTTATTCTCATGGACAAGGAAACGGTGAGTTGTACGCCCTCATCGGTTAATAAATACTAGTTTATTACAAAATTTACATGCTTATTGTAATTTAGATCGATACTATACCTTTATGTCTATATACTATATAGACACCACTATAACTGGATCTTATTTTCGTTTTAGAATCACATAGGCATTCGACGGGGCTTCAAATTCATTGCTATTTTACAATACGATACAAAAATTGTATCATATTTATTACGAGCCAAGATTGTAGACTAATTGTAATCATTCAAAAGCAATTAAAATAATTTTTCTCATGACGTATTATGCTACACATTTTCGCTATAATTACTCATAAAATAATACATTATAAATATACAGATTGGAACTAATATTCAAGGTACTTACACAAAATTTTGCACAGGCGAATCCCATTGTTTCTTTTTTTTATATTTTTTTCTCATTAATAGTTTATAAGAGTACCATTTTATTCGATAATAATTGAATCATAAATTTACTTAAATTACCGAAATATTATTTTTTTGTAATCTTTATTATTATTTATACATTGACAGGTTGTAATTTTTCTAAAATTGCAAATGTCAATTGTAAATTATTTTTCTCCATTTTCTTTTCAGACAAGTATTGTCAGTATGGTGTTCAGTCAGTCTGAGATTTTGCAAAAAGAGGTTTATCTCTTCGAGAGAATTGATAGCCATTCAAAGTGGGATAATATGAAGCATATGAAATGCATTGTTTTTGTGAGACCGACTTCTGAAAATATTTCATTATTGTCCCGGGAACTGAGATACCCAAAGTATGGAGTGTATTTTATATGTAAGTTGTGATTCTTATTATATTTTGTACCTCACCTTCTTACACTGTAAAATTATACTTGATATTATTATTTAACATGTTACACGCCACGGGGGTCACCGGAGACCGACATTAGCGGAGCATATGCCTTCAATAGTTGGATATTGGCAGTCAAAGACACAGTGATAAATAGAGACTGGAGGTGCATATACACAATATTGTGTCTACTTTTCACCACTAATCAATTTCAATACGGAATTAGAATAGCTAATATCATTATATCATACTATTGGATATTATTATTTGATAGCTTGAACTTTATCCTAAATTATCACCATCTGGTTAGCAAACAGATACCTACTATCCTTAGGATTAGCAAGCTGAAATGGCAGTGGGTCGGTCACTTTTATTTTAGAGTTGATGACCATTGGGGTAGACGAGTTCTGGAGTGGAGACCATGTCCAGGCAAACATAGTGTAGGGCACCCACTAGCTAGGTGGAGTGAAGATATCCGCAAAGTGGCTGGTAGTGGTTGGATGCATGGAGCTGTAGATCGAACTCGGTGGCATGCCATTGGAGAGGCTATGTCCAGCAGTGGATGAGAACCGGCTGTTGATGGTCAGCAAAAATATGATACCATTTTAAACCTTCTACAGGAATTGATAAACTCATCTTTGTCCCATACAATTTAACCAACAAGGCATTCCATTAGACATTGTGAAACTTAATCTTATTTATTCTCTAGATTTCAGCAATGTTATATCTAAGGCAGACATTAAGACGTTAGCCGAGTGTGATGAGCAGGAGACAGTTAGAGAGGTGCAGGAAGTTTTTGCCGACTACCTCGCTGTGGACCGACACCTGTTCTCCTTCAACATTGTTGGGTGCTTGCAAGGTAAATGAGACAATTATTTGTATATATAGACTGGGTACAGTTAACTGGACTGGGACTAGTTTACTTCGCTGAGTGATATTCGCTGCGTCCTGTATGAGCAGTCATGAGTATGAGTTCCTTGCGAGCTTGATAATAATCGAGTTCCTCGTTCAAAGGTTTCCATTTTATCGAAAGGTACAAGAACAACACAATATTACGTGTAATTAAAACTTTTTATCTCTAGTAATTTTTTTAATTTTAATTATTAAAAGATCGATTAAAACAACATTCGATATTTTGAACACTCAATGCAATGAGTGTGCTTTGTATTGAATGCTTTATATAATAACCGTCTATAGTGGTCGATCAATTGATATTCGATCATTTGGTATCAATATAGCATATAAACTCGTACCAACGAAACAATTTAACAAAGAATTGTATTGTAAACCTGATTGAAAAAGAGTAACCTATGGAGTTTCTTGCTCGTTCTTCTCCATAGGAATCTACACTTTGGAACAAGCAAATAGCTTCACTAGAGGACTGACCGACAGATATTTTTTTCTTTAATATTTAATAAAAAATTTTAATGTTCAAAAGTGCCTTCTAATCTAATTGAAATAAAGATTTTGACTTTGACAATAATTGTATCCCCAGGTCGCTCCTGGAACCCGCACCACTTGCAGCGTTGTGCTCAAGGCTTGCTTGCGTTACTGCTATCCGTGAAGAGACGCGCAGTAGTTCGCTATGAGGCAGCATCGGAGCCCTGCGCCCGTCTCGCAGAGAGAGTGAGAGACCTCCTACGTAGAGAGGCAGTGCTCATTGATAACAATATACCATTCAACGGAGAGATACCAACACCACAGCTGTTAATTATTGATAGAAGAGATGATCCTGTTACACCGTTGTTGAATCAGGTTTGTTCAAAGTGGTTAACTGGTTTTTCACTAGAGCACTTGGTTGTCTTCAGATATAAAGTCAAGATACTCAGAAGCTTCAGTATGTGTTAAACATGCTCCATCGTTGCTTACCACCAGATGAGGTAGTGGAGTTTTATAATAAAAAAATAGATCTCAGGACTCTGATATTATGTATCTTAATATTGCGACCAACCACTCAGGAATACGCGGCGGCTTCGTCTACATTTTTTCCTTTTTGTTAAGGCTATGAAATTGAATAACCTTAAAACAGTTTTTTATCCTTTTTTGGGTGGCTCGTTGGCCGAATGGTCGCAACTGCGACTGCCGGGCAATGGGTCTCGGGTTCGATTCCCGGATCGGGCAAAGTATTACTGGATATTTAAAAAAAAAAACAGTAGTAGCACGGAGTCTGGAATTGAGTCGGTATATGATAATAGGCTCACCCCCTATTACATGGAACTCAAAACATAAATAGTGAAAAATGGGTGTTACATTTACATACAGTAGCATTGAGTGCCGTAATGTGCTCATCTGCCTAAATCTTCAGGGATAAAAGACATGATGTTATATTTTAATTATTCCTTATGTTTTCAGTGGACGTACCAGGCGATGGTGCACGAGTTGCTGACAATCAACAACAACCGCGTCAGTCTGGCGCACCTGCCTGACGTGCACAAGGACTTCAAGGAGGTCGTACTCTCCTCGGAACAGGACGAGTTCTATGCCAAGGCGAGTATTATAGTAATAGGGGATTTATTATATTCATCATCACCAGGCTATAAGTGCCCACTGATAAGCAAAGGCCTCGTCTTACACGGAGAAGGATCGTATAAGAGTCATAGAATTTATTTATTTAAAACAATCATTACAGTTTTCTCCATTGCGATAGTTTAGGCCTAAAACTAAGTCTATATACCTAATTTACTAATTTAAAACAAGACAAAACTCAAAAAGAGAGCATACACAAACTTAACTATTGACTAAAACTAATAAAAAAGAAAATAAAGAAAAATATTACCTTTTAAGTTCTCCTGTGTCACTAAAACATAACATTATCCATAAAAAATAAATGAGATAATATTAACGACTTTATGGTCACGAGATCAGCGGTGAACTACTTACTACACCACCCACCTTCATGGATGCGTTTACAGACATGCAAATTCCCATCACACTCACTCATGGAACAAAAATTTGTGGATCACAGAATTATTCTGAGCGGAAATCGCACTTACCATACGTTCTCATTGCACCAACTTATCTGCACAGCCATTTGAACTATGAATATACATATATTTTAAATAATTTCTCCTTAATTTAATCCATAATTCTCTAAATTACAGAACTTATACTCAAACTTCGGTGAGATCGGACAGACGATGAAGTCGTTGATGGACGAGTTCCAGAAGAAAGCCAAGAGTCATCAGAAAGTCGAGAGCATCGCAGACATGAAGAACTTTGTGGAAACATATCCATTGTTCAAGGTAAGTGTGTGTTGAAAATGTAGTCAAGTCAAAAGCACCATCGCATCGTTCGTTTACCATCAGGTGATTCGTCCCGAGCGTGCATCGCGTCAAAGAGCCATCAGACCACCACGGATGGTAACATGGAACTTAACGGGTTACCGGGGCTTCGGCTCGAAGTGCAGGAGTAGGAACGGGGTGGTTTTTAGTCAGTAAGAGTCTGATGCCGGAATACTGAAACGTTACTCAATTTTAAGTCGTGCTTAAATATCGTGCCATCTCTGTCATTTTACAAAGAATTTGTAGAGACAGAACTATACTTAAGCACGACTTAAAATTGAGTAGCGTTTGAGTATTCCGACATGACACAGCTAACACCCCGCCTCACCCGGGTGGGAGAAGTAATTCGATGATTTTCTCCCCATACAAAAAAAAACAGGTCATTCGTCTGATCGTTTGCCCTGGATTTCATAAGAAAACGTAGTGAATAATCGTCTTTTTAGCAGACATGCCTGTGACAACTACGGGCCTCCCTACACAAGATAGCCTCGCTTGACAAGCATGTATTCTTACTAAGGATCAGGTTTATCAGAGACCGCAACAAACAATTATCAGTTCGTACTTAAATACTAATTGATGGTATCTATCTAAAGTTAACGTCTTGTTATTCTTATCTTGAAATCAAAGCACTTAAATGAATTAGTACAAAAACAAATAACTTTTGAAAAATTAATAAATAGCTGAAAATTAAGAAGAGTAGAAGCCGTTCAATTCTTAAGGGGTAGATAGATAGAGGTGCAATTAGCACACACACGTGCGCACAATGTAACACTCACATTTCATTCGTTATTGTTGAGTACTCTTGTGGTAAAATTGAGTAAGGAATATTGCATTTCACCTACCTATATCTTTATATATGTAATTCTGCTGTACGTGTGTATATCATTGAACTCCTCCTAAACGTCTTGACCGATTTAAATGAATTTTTCTGTATGCGTTTGAGTGGCGCCCTAGATGGTTTAGATTCACAAATCAGCCTGGCAGATGGCGCTACAGTCAGTATCTATCTAGGTTATCTATACCTATTATTATGTCGCGGAGAACCTAACGGGTAACCGGGGCTCCGGCTCGACGTGCAGGAGAAGGAACGGGGTGGTTTTTAGTCAGTAAGAGTCTGACACTCCCTTCCGCCTCACCCAGGCGGGAGCAGTCATTCGATGATTTTCTCCCCTTAAAAAAAAAAAATACCTATTATTATATTATTATTATTATGTGATATGCAGGACAACGTCTGCGGGTCCGCTAGTATTATGATATAATTGAAATTGTTTGTCTAATGAGCGTCTCTCGCCATCAAACGTCAAAGTTTGGCGAGTTTTAAGGCATGTGGCCTTAAATTGCCTTAATGGAAATTAATCTATGTAAAATTTCAATGAATAAATTTGTTAATAAAAAGTTATATGGAGTAATAGAAGTTGAGTCTATTGACGTATACCAGGTAAAATTCAATAGGTACTCTACCTGACCTAGGAATTAAACTCCAATTCATATATTTTTTTTATAAAACGTTGCCCCAAACTAGGGTTATCTCCTGTGTTTAATTTTAATTTACAAATAATAATAATAATTTATTTATTTGCGAAAAACACGGTATACAAAGTTGTTAAAATAAATGTAAAGTCCAGCATGTTTTGCTTACAATTAAAGCATGCAAACTTGTAAGTGTCTAGTCAAACACTATAAAATCTTACAAATAGGAAAAACTAAGGTCTATGTTCCAAATATTGCCTAATACTATAGAAATTATATTGCGTCAACAAATTATACAATTCAATCTTAAAAAGTCTACAATTCGCAGTTTTCAAGATATTTGGTAGTTTATTGAATACACAAATACACATAGCTGGACAGCTCTTATTGTATTTTACTATCCTAGGAATCTCTTCCAGTACAAGTCTGTGCTGTTGCTGATCACGCCGACTGCGTGAGCTTACTTCTTCTACTGTTTTAAATAGATCTATATGTTTTCGTACAAACATAGACACTTCATACAGATACAATGATGGCAATGGTAGCAGACCAAGTTTTTTAAAGATGGGTTGACATGATTCATCCGATGGGATCCCCTGAATAGCTCGTATACACTTTTTTTGGGCAACAAACGCTCTACCTTGGTCGGTACTATTTCCCCAAAAAATCAGACCATACCGTAAAGAGGACTCAACATATGCCTGATAAGACATCACAGCCGTTTTTATGCTAGTGACCCTCTTAATTTGTCTAAGGGCGTACGCGAATTTATTAATTTTATTGCACACATGGTCGACCTGAGCTTTCCAATCTAGATGTTGGTCTACAATTATTCCTAAGAACTTAGTTTGTGTCACTTGGGTAAGTTTGGATACGTTCATTTTAAAATTAAATTTCGGATTATAAGATTGATTGAATTGTATATATACAGATTTATTGAGATTAATAGTTAAATTATTATTATTTAAATAGCTAATTAAATTGTCAATTGTTTTATTTATGTCCGCTTCATGATCAGTAATGGTTTTCAATTTTTTGTCACTAGTAATAATAATAGATATGTCATCAGCAAAAAGAATACATTTATGATTGGTTATGTCAAATATGTCATTTATGTAAGTAATAAATAGAATAGGGCCCAATATACTACCTTGGGGTACGCCACATTTTACATTTTTATATTCAGACGAGTAAAATGTCATAACACCCTTTTCATTAAGCTTGGAGATAACTACACTCTGCTGTCTATCAGTTAAGTATGATGATAGCCACTGAAGTGACAATCCTCTAATTCCGACGGACTCTAGCTTTTTCAATAATATCATGTGAAACTAGGTCAAAAGCCTTTGTCAAATCAAAAAATAAGCCTGTTGTAAGGTGATTTTTATTAATACTCGTCAGTACTGTTTTTAAAAGAGTAAAAATGGCTAAGGTAGTTGATTTTAGTTTTTGAAAACCAAATTGTTGCTTATTTAAAATATTGTATTTTTCACAGTAACTAATTAATCTTTGGTACATGCATTTTTCATATACTTTTGAAAATATTGGTATTAATGTTATGGGACGATAATTGTCCATATTACTTTTATCACCTTTTTTGAAAATCGGCTTTACAAGGGATATTTTTAAGGCATTAGGAAACACACCCTGTGAAAAGGATAGGTTGATAAGATATGTCAATACCCCGCTTATTTCATTAACACATATCTTAATAATTTTTTGTGTTGAGCTCATCGTAACCCTCAGAAGTAGTATTGTTTAATGATAATATATTTTGTCTTACCTCACTTTCGTACATTGGCGAGAGGTACATTGAATTAGCAATTAAATTTTTATTAAAGCATTTGGTGTTACAGTTTTGCGTTGGGTTACTATTTACATAGAGCCTATTAAAGGCGGAAGCTATTACTTCTGGTTTTGTAAGAATAGTGCTATTAGTTTTAATGTATTCAATATTATCTTTGGGGTTCTTATTGTGTATTTCGTTTTTTATAACAGTCCATGTGGCTTTACACTTATTGTCATTCTTGTCAATATACTTCATATTAGCATTACGCTTGGCATTGTAGATACATTTCTGTAGCAGATTAGAGTATGTGTTATATTTGGTCTTGTTACCTTGATTTTTATTTTTATAATATTGGTATCGTAGACCACGCTTTGTTTTAGTACTCTGTTTAAGACCTTTACTTATCCATGATTGTTTAGTTTTTTTGTTTAAGTCTATTTTAACCCTTACCTTTGGGAAGCAGAGATTGTGAAACAGACATATCAATTCGTGGAAGCAGTCGAATGCCCTATTTGCATCGTCCTCCATGTATATGTTTTCCCAAGATAAGTTTTGTAAGCATTCTTTAAACTTACGTGTATTATGCAGATTGTAATCTCTCTTAAAGATATAATATATTGCTGCTTTTGTTGTCTGAAGCTTTAGAGGGAAGCTTAGCATTTGAGCCGTTTCATGGTCAGAGAGGTGAAGTGGTAATACTTTTGCGATAGCATCAGGTATATTACTTAAAATATGGTCGATACAAGACAATTTACGTGTGGCTTCATTAATATGAATTTCAATATTATGACTACGGGCTATGTCTTGAAATACTTGCGTGATTTTCCCTTTTTTGAAAGTATTTATATTAAAAAATACAAAACAAAAACACGTATAGTTTTAACAGGTGATTTTCTGTTAAAACTATACGTGTTTTTGTTTTGTATTTTTTGTAAATATCATACAAAATATTATCTAACTTACTTAAAAATTGGTTAGGATCGGACTGAGGTGTTCTGTATATGCAGATTATGATTAGTTTATCATTTGTTAGTTCAATTCCACATGCCTCAAATATGTGTAATTTGTCTAGAAAATGTCGGGCACGGTGACGAAGCATGTGACAGTGGTGGGCGAGCTGTCCGCGAGCGTGACTCGCCACAACTTGCTCGAGGTGTCCGAGCTCGAGCAGGAGATCGCGTGCCAGAGCGACCACTCCAAGCATCTGCAGGTTTGTACCATTAAACCTCAACAGCATCTTGACTAACTAACAGCCAGTTTCAATAACCTATCTATCTGTAGATTTGCTTACTAGAGATAGAATTTTGACATAAGCTCCATACAAAAAGTGTCAACATTCTATGTCTAGTAAGCAAATCCGAAGATAGATAGGTTATTTAAATTGGACGTTAAATAGTAACGCTGAAATACTCAACCGTCACTCCATTTAATTCGCATTTAATAAAGTTCTGTCACTACAATTTTTGTAAAATGACGGACATAACATAACATCACGGCTTTTATCCCCGAGGGGTAAGCAGAGGTGCACATTATGCCTCTGTACAATGTAACACCCACTTTTCACTGTTTATGATATGAGTCCCATGTAATAGGGGGTGAACCTATTGCCATATACCGGGCACAATTCCAGCCTCCGTGCTACTACTGAGAATTTTTTAAAAACCCAATAATACTTTGCCCGACCCGGGTCTCGACAGAGATGATGCGATATTTCAAAACAAAACACTTCAAAACATTTGACTCCACACAACTTGAGAAAAGCTAGAATTTCTAAAGAAGGCCTATAAAAGGCCTAGAATTAGGGTTATGATATTGAAACAGAGTAACATGAGCATGAGCTCAAAATTATGCCTTTTATATAGTTACTGCTTAACTTATAATTTAATAAAATATTTTATTCATTGTGGAAATAGTCTGTCCTTTTTTAAAAATTGGAAACAATAAGAGCCCATCTTCATGATTTATTTTTTACTTTATAAAACTCACCTAAAACTAATAATCGCCAACCCGCATTGAGCAAGCGTGCTGATTAATGCTGAAACCTTATCCGTGTGAGAAGAGGCTTTGCTCAGGAATGGGCATTTATAGGCTGTTGATGATGATGAAAACTAATAATATCTTTACTTATCCACAGCGTCTAAAGAACTTACTATCAAACGAAGCGGTGCGCCATCATGATGCGGCCAAACTAGTCGCTTTATACGCCCTCCGATATGAGAAACATGCGAGCAACGCATTACCGTCACTCATAGAGGCGCTGAAGACCCGAGGGGTGCCTGAACACCTCGTGAAGGCTGTTGTTAACCTGCTGGAGTATGGAGGAGCCCATGCCAGGCAGAGTGATCTGTTTGGACTACAAGATGCTGTCAAGATTACTAAGAGGCTTTTTAAGGTAATTAAAATTTGTCACTACTATTAATCGTCAGGAGGGTGCTGTAATAGTTAACTAATAGAGAATACATTTGACAGTGACCGGGGAAACAAGCCTTCAAACTGTTATTGCTTACTTTGTCAGAGATCTTTAGTAAAATGTAACTGCATTTTCCTAATCTTGCTTGCACGTGGTAATCAAATACCTTTTGTACATTACAGGGTTTGAGCGGCGTAGAAAACATCTACACGCAACACACGCCGCTACTCAAAGACACTTTAGAAGACTTAATCAAGGGAAAACTGCGAGAAAACCTATACCCAACACTAGGAGGCGACGACGGGGCTTACGGTCGTAGACCACAAGACATATTCGTGTTTATCGTTGGGGGCGCCACTTACGAGGAGGCCCAATGCGTTCATCAGATCAACCAGACGTATCCGGGAGTCAGAATAGTTCTTGGCGGTACTACGATACATAATTCAACATCCTTCTTTGAGGAAGTGAAGGCAGCAATGCAAGGTGTCCACAGAACACATACTAGACATATTAGAAACGTTTGAATAAGTTTGTCATAAAATAATATGCGATATAAATTATTTGAAGAGTTGACGGTACCTGAAAATTCCTAATGCATTTAATTTTGACCTTTTTGTATGGAGTAAGGCTTGTGCAGACGAGCTTTGTAAACTTGTGCTATTCAAAATTTGTATTTTGATATAAAATATTCTTTCATGACTATGAACTTGCTGCATACTTATTCCTGTTGAATAATTTCTGTTTTTGATTGATTTATTGTAAAACATTGTGTGACCGATTCAATTGTATTTCTTTAATACCTACTGTATTTGGAATTATATTAGCGCTAAGTCGAAGTGCTTCGAATGATAAATAAAAAAGGCGGTCTACGGATTCACCCGTCTATCGCACATTTTTATCTCGTGTTGATCCTGATGAGTCAAGTATTTTATTCACATAGAAATGAAACTATTTTATTTTGTTCTAAGTTATTTAAGTTTTATGTATTGTCTACTTTAAAGGATTAAATTATTATTATTACCAATACAGTGTAAGTTTTATTTTTCTTGCCCTGTGTTAAATGGATCATTGCTATCGGAATTTTTCTTTATATATTTAGTAGCTGTCCCGGCAAACTTCGTAGTGCCTTAACCTTTTGAGCGCCAGGGTCACAAATACGTGACAAGCGAAAACTGTCCCTGAGCGCCAACGACACAAATATGTGACAAAAACAGCGGTACATTAAAACACGAAATAAACTATTTAAACATTACTTTAATGCCTATTTATTTATATACCTGTAAAATAGAAGGTCCAAAATTTATTTATTTCCATAAAACTAATTAAATTGCATTATAAATATTGAGAAATTTTACGTTAAAAAGAAAGAAATAAACTCTGAAAAAAGAATGTCCTCACACGCCAGAGTCATAACTGCGTGACCGCTAGTGATGTAGCGCATGTTGGATAATATCATTATTTCAAATCAAAGATCGATTCAAAACTTTCCTCTGGAATATATTATTTTAGGTATAATTTGGTACTAGGATAAAGCAGCATTAATTTTATAAAACCAGTCTTAAAAATCATTCAATAAGCTACATAGTCAAAAATAAAATTTGGTTGGGTCGAATTTCGATATTCACTAATCCCAACTCAAGCGCATCCCTAACGCAACCCGAATTATCAGTACCCTGTACGCCATGGTCACGACTAGACGACAATATCGTGACGTCACAAGCGCGGCGACCAGAAATTAGTGAAGTGAATGAATAATATTTATGATTAATTTACTTGTGATATCGAGTTCAAGATTTATATTAAGTGACTATTATAATGAGTGGGAATTTAATGACTACGGAAGAAGAGCGAGAGTATTTGACTAGAAACTTTTATTCTAAATGTGGGCTCCATATTTACCTATAACTACGTGGAATAAAGTCTGCCAAAAGTTCCTTTTTTAGCCACGGTGCGCGCTGAGATCGATTTCACTGTCCCCACCACCCACTTTGCACCCAGCGAATTAGATGATCAGAATGCAGGTTGCATTGTAGATTTTGTATAATTTTGTTCTATTATTCAAAAGATTTATTAGTATAAGACTGATTGGTAATTGTGATAATTATATATAATCGTTAATTGTTTTAATTTGTTACTTTTTATGCCAGGTTTATAGAACTTAATATTTAAAAACATGTATACATAGTACATACTGTATAACATTTTATTAAAATTTTCTATTTTTTCATAGTTTTTATTTACCTTCTTAACCTATTTCAATCATATATTTTTAAGTACCTGTTACATTCGGAATTATAAATCTGATTTAAAAAACGTGTTTCATTTATTATAAAATAATATTGTACTAGAACATCGATAAACGAGATATTACTTTCATTCATTCAAATTCATTCAAATTCATTTAATCGTTTGCAAACATGGGTACATAATATAGGTATTAACAAAATATACAGTTTCTCCATATTTTGCCATCACTTGGCATGCAAAGATATGTTATAAAAAAATTATATAATAAAATTAGGTACAATAAGTTTAATTAATTGTAGTTTTGTTAAATTGAATACAGTATGTCAAATAAATTAAAATTATTAATACCATTGAAGTCAAAAATGTAATGTCAAATTAAATATATTTTGTAAAAAGGTAATCATCAATTATGAATGTCACACAAGCAATGTTAAACAAATGAAGTTTATTATAATTGACCGTCATACACGCAGCCACAACAAGCCCAAAAACCATCATGTCCATTCCGTCTTTAGTCAATTACATATATGAAATGTGAATGTCAATTAATAAAATTAATATGTCAATAAAAGCTAAAAACAAGAGTGAATACAATTCATATGTCTTTAATATAAAATGTCAAATATATAATATTAATAATAATAATAATATTGAAAAATAAAATGTGTCATAATAGTTAGTAGTCTATGTGGTCCTGTAGAAAATCCCTAATGCTATAATAGGCCTTATTGGTGAGAAAATCCTTCAATTTATTTTTGAATATATTTGTGTTGTATTCTTTCCAGAGCTTAGGAATTTTATTGTAAATTTTTGGGCCCATGCAATATATACTGTTATTCATTAAGCTAGTTTTTGAATAAATTAATCTAATTTTGCTATTATCACGTCTATTACGGACAACCGTATCACTTAGACGTGGAAATAGGGTTAGGTTGCTCTTAATAAACATTGCGCTTTCTAAAATATAAAGAGAGGGTACAGTCAAAATTTTATATTTTATGAAAAAATGCTTGCAGCTGTCCGTGACCTTTAACTTAAACATGGTTCTCAAGCAACGCTTTTGGGCTTTGAATACTAATTCTTTATTAGTGGAATTCCCCCAAAATATAATGCCGTATCTTAGATTGGATGAAACTAAACCATGGTATGCTGTAAGGAGGGCGTCAATGTTGAGCACTGGAACTAATTTATAAATTGCATAGCAAGATTTACTTATTTTTTTTATTAGGGATTCTGTGTGTGCTTTCCAATTTAGTTTCTTGTCAATGATTACACCCAAGAATTTCGCGTTGTCAACTTCATTAATTATTTTATTATTGTAGTGTATATTTAGGTTAGACATGGTAGATCCTCTCTGTGTAAAGTGCATGATATTCGTTTTTTCCAAATTGATTTTTAAATTATTGTTTTCTAACCATTGTATAACAGACATTAGTGAATTATTAATATTATCGGTATAGGTATCTCGACTTTTACATGGTATAGTTATGGTACTATCATCGGCGAATAAAGTTACGTATTGATTGATGCTTTTGGGTAGATCATTGATATAAATGATAAATAGTAAAGGACCTAAAACACTGCCTTGGGGTACACCGTATCTGATAACACGCCAAGATGATTTATAAATTTCTTCTTGTTTTGTGTGTGTATTTATCGAGTTTATTTCTGTGTACTGTTGTCTGTTCCTAATGTACGATTCTATAAGACGCAATACGTTACCTCGGATACCATATGCTTCCAATTTTTTAATCAAAGTGTTATGACAGACATAGTCAAATGCTTGTGACATATCGCAAAATATGGTGCTTACAGGAGTGGTTTTATCAACATTTGTTATTACTGTAGACATAAAGTCATAAATAGCCATATTTGTTGTTTTATTAGAACGAAAACCTTTTTGTTCTGGAGTAAGTATATTATTTTTCTCAAGATAGTTGTATAAATGTCTATATATGTGTTTTTCAAATATTTTAGATATTACACTTATAAGGGAGATAGGTCGGTAGAATTGCATAAGTTCCCTGTTCTCCTTTTTGAATAGAGGTTTCACTATCGATATCTTAAGTCGCCACATCCTAATTTCGGAAGCGAAGTAGTTATTAAAATGGCGGGCCGTCCACGCCATGGTCACAATATGAAGACAGCAGATCAAGAATAGTGTTGTACCTACAGTTATTATATTTAAATATATTGTAGTCTCATATCTGTTATTACGGTATTATACAAGTCTGTAAATAGTGTATAACTATTACTTTAATAGGAAGAAATGTAATGTTGAATTAAATTTCAATGTTATAAGGACATTATATTTCGAAATTAAAGACGAAAATGAAAATAAAATTGATTATCGATGAAGTTTTGGAATCCCTATTTTTTTCGTAGGTATTTGCGGTGAATTTGTGGCCTGGCGTTGAGGGCAAGTTCATGCGTTTTTGCTCTGGCGTTCAAAAGGTTAAGATACTTTTATTCTCACCTATTAAACCTTTCCTGGACTTCCACGAGTATTTCAAGGCAAAATTAGCGAGACTAACGAACGCAAATTATTTTTTATATAGACACTAGGATTTTCTTGTCGTTGGGTGCGTTTTCACACAAACAACACCCAGCCCGTTGGGGCTGTATTTACAAACTGGTGTTGACCAATTTGTGGACACAATGAAGTTATCAGTTGTGTTCAGTAATTTTTCCTATCACCCATTTCCTACCATGTTATTAAGTCTTCAGAGTACTTCCGAAAAAACATGGTTATTTTCGTTGCAACATGTTGTTTTTGAAAACTAGAATACCTAGAATATCACCTAAACTGAAGATTTTTCTTAGTTTAGTAATGCAATGTATTTTATTATTTCTTCTTTTGTTACCCTCATTAATTAACCCGTAGTGTGTCTGAACGTGGATCCACGCGAGACACAATGTATTTTCGGTTGTCTCATATCGGTGCATTCAAGCGGTTATGCCCGAGTCCCATGTAGTAAATGGAGAAGATGAGACTATTATCATACACTAAGCAATCATTATGATCATGTCATTATGTGTTCCAAATTCTTCATTTCGGATGAGTGTGGGCGAGATTGTTTTCACGTAGATGTCTCTCGTTGGATTGCAGTTCCACACTGTGTTCTGTCGAAGAGTGTGAATCACAGTAAGTAGCTACGTGGAGTGCAGTTTACGGGTTAACTCGTCGAGTACCGGTTTTATAGACACAATTAAAGAACAATAGGTCGCGGTCACCGGTGACCGCTTGGTGTTTGACAGTTTAAAAGGACAAGGGGACCGAAACCATTAAAACACAGAAGTGTTGTGTTTGAAACACATTTTTTTAACTTTTTTATTGAAAAATATTCGTTGACACAGGTGTTAGCGTGTCCAACAAACAATAAACGATGCCATACCACTTTGGCACATTCCTGCTCACACGCCCTTCGCGGGGCTCACAAATAAAAAGCACTTTTTCACAAATCAAATCTTTCATCAACAAGCGGAATTAAGCAGCAATATACAATATCGAATTTGACATGAATCAGTAAAACTCTAGCTGGTAATTAAGTTCAGCTCATTACTTTGTAGCTCGAAAGCATTTAAATAATCTTGTGTAAGCGTCAAATTCTACCGATCCCCATCAAACAAATTACAATATACAATACGAGGAGTTTAGGCTTTGTTTATCACTCCTATAAAAACCAATTTACATTATGTCTGCTCCCTTCCGCACACATTATTTCCCTTCAGTCTTTACATAATTTACACCTCCTATACCGGAATGTTACCAAAATGCTACCCACAATATGAACGCGGCGTTCGGAAATATCTGTAATAGATAATTAAATTAGCATTTTGTAACTTCCAAGTAGTAGGTCCATACACGTTGGTAACATCCTCACAATATCCCCCCATTGGGGGCCAACACACACATTTATAAGGCAATTTCATAGAATTTATCTATACATACAATGGTTTTACGAATCAGCAGCGCCGACATTGAGTCGGTAACAAATATTTACACAAAGGAAAGTGCCTTATACGAGGTAAAAATGTATGAGCTGCTCTCATTGTGGACTGAATCTTAAATTATCATTTGTAACGTGATTATTGTTGAAGTGATAATTTAATGAGTCAGTCGTGCTAGTTGTCAAGTGGCAATCGTTGGTGCCGAGTGGCCTCGGCTAGCAGCCTCCGAGCAAGGAATACCCAACTAAAGTCAATTTTACGCGAAATTAACACAAGTACGTCAGTATCATTGCCACTTGCTTCAAAGCAAAATTAGTAAATAGGAGTTGTTCAGACCTGTGACGTCAGACAGCAAAGGACGCGAAGTTGTATCGTAATAATAGACTAACCTGTGTATTAGTATTATTAGAACTGTGAACACTTTATTGGGGAATTAAACATTTAACTCCATAAGTAGATATGGCATATTAGTGGAATGTAATGTATGTGCCGATTTAGTTCAACTGACTTAGGAATGTGACCTAATGATGTCTGAACAACTTCTATTCACTCTGTATATAAATATCAGTACCGTTTACTTTGATACGTCACAGTTCAGTAGACACAAGTCGTGATAGTCACATGTCACCATTGATAAAGGCACAATGGAGTTACTCCTTCATCCTAGATTCAACGACATTACGCCCGCCTTTACGGCTTGATCGTTTTATTTTAATTACATACATATATCGGGGATGGCCGTCCACAATCAGATCTCTGATTTGTCCATTCCTCTACATTGAAATCAATAGTTTTAGATAAATGTGCGTTACCATCGGCGCTTGGAATATCGTTGCTCTTAACATGAGAATCTTATAAAAATTTACACCACAACCATTATAATATTATGTGGCCAAAGGAACTCGAACGTCTTTTCGTAAGCACGTACAAATTTCACGAGAAAATAAGAAAGGTATATTCCTAGCTAAACATAAACATGTCTGTGCCACCAGGCGTGGCACTCCACACAAAAAATATATCGATAATATTTATATGGCGCACAACAATCAACACACGCACATACATCTTTTTATTATTTATCAATCTCTCATTTAGCAACAAACTTACGCGGTGGATTCACGCACGCGATAAAAATTTAAATTAAAACAAGAAAAAAAAATTGTGAAAAAAAAAAGAAAATAAAACAGTAGACGAGAGTCCATACCATGTTCTCAAGAAATATATTACATTCTACAGTCACGAACGTGGTACGGATGTTGTAGGCCCTTCCCGAAAACATTTTTTTTGTGATTTTTTTTCAAGTTAACTTGTTCGAAAATCCTTTATACATCACAAAATAAATACGAATGTAAGTTTGTGGGAAAGGTCACCAGTAACCTCTCTATATCAATATATTTACACTATATACACGTTATATTCATTGTCTGTTTATATAAATATGTCTATTTTAAATCTACAAATCATTAAACGCGGTGTACATAGAAACATAGCAACTCATTGGGAGTGATACATACAGTTGGTTCGTCTATAATTTTTACAAAAGGAATGCTTATACATAAGAATAGGAAGAACTCGAATTTGTGTATGAAAGTAATCCTGCAGCACTCCATGGTTTCCGTTGATCAATTTGTTATAAAAGAATGTGAATGTCATCGTCCACATTTGGCGCTACCCAGGGAGCACCGCGCGGAGGTCATGGACTTAGCTCCCCTTGATGCCACACTTAGTAAGCGTATAACGACCCTCCATTCAAGCAGAAACTTATCGATAAATAACTCTACAACTATGGGAGGAAACGTACTGATTGTGCAAATCTTGTGACCCTTACTGATACAACAGAGTATGATACATATTATGACAAGTACATATGTGACAAGTCTGACTTTAATTTATGTGAACAGTGTCAGTATCGTCGTATATATGTATGTATATGCAATCCTAACATCCTTACACCTACCTATCAAAGTTTATATTTTTATTGTCAAACCTACTTGCGTCTGTAACGCATCCTATTACAATTCCTTGAAACTACGCGTGACAGTGACATATGATTGAAAGCCTGGATACTTCGCCAGTTCATAGCATCACTATGATAATGATATTCACAACGATCGGGTGGTTGGTAGGCTTTCAAAAATACCTTCATCACAGTAAACTATTCAGTTCAAAATTATAATATATTTGTAATTGTAATGTTATATAATACTATTATACAAATTTTACATAAGAAAAATATGTAGATTCTGTTTAAAATTATATGTTTAGTCCATCTCATTCATCCTCGCGCACCGAGTTGCTGGCGGTTCAACTGAAGGGTGTATTATATAAAGCTTGTGTATACAAGAACGTTTGGATTCGCACAATGTATCCGCCACGCTTGAACAAAGGGGACTAATCAATGAAAACAATAAGTTTCTTACAATGGCGAATTTACAGAGACTGGCCTTACATGTGGCAAATAAAATGTACCTACAACGTGATTTGTGAGAGAAATGTTCAGCAATCCACCCCGTGACCTCTACAGGGATGGAATCCACAGACTAATGACAGTTTGTTCTCGACATTACAATTATGAGGCTGAGTTTCACTAACAGTGCAATCTGAAAAGGCGTAGTTACTACGTTCATATTAAATATGCTAATAGAAAATGTTTAACGAACAATTGATTCTTTTATAACCATAGTCTGGGGATGAGCACTCTCAGGGAGTCGGCCACGTATCGCGGCCCAGCTACACAGTAAACGTTGCCTTCTCAAAAGCTGCAAATGTATAAAATAAAATAGAACTAATGACTCGTGAGACAGTAAATTCATACCTTAGTAAACATTGAGCATCTAGGATGGTCCCGACACTTGTTCTTACTTTCAACTGTCCAATGAAAGTCGTTACAGTATCAAATCGACGGGCGCGTGCAACACCGCCCACCATTGACATTAAGAAATTTAAAACTATTTGCCAATTTATAAATTAATAATATTTAAAGTGCAATTGACACTTTGGAATTAGTTTTGTAATCGCGGAGGGTACCTTCACAATAATAACCCTAAACCTAAATAAATACATAACGAACTGACCGCTGTCTCAGAATGGCGATAGTCGTCAACGAGGGAACTAACCTTACCGACCGACGACAAGAGGGACCCGACTGTATTACTAGACAAAGGATAATCTTGCCTTCACATATTATACATTAAATATAAAATTCTATGAATACGTTACAGCTAAGTTGTATCAAACTTTATTATGATATTTAGTTCGATATATTTTCATATACTTTTTTATATAAAACTGACTTGCACCCAGGCGAGGTGTCGCGATAGATATATAAAGAGGATAGTTTCGGATTCCTCTTGTTTCCCGTCGGTAAATTTGATAGAGAGTGAATTATCTAGTTTATTATAATACACAGGGCCGCCGCCGACCCTCTCTCCGTCCGTACAAGACGATCTATCTACACTTACAACATATCAACAAACACACACCATCCAACATCATTTGTATTTCCCCGCCATGCTAAAACTAACTAAAATATATATAACAGTTTCATGTGTATGGCAACACCTTCAACTGCTTTGAAAGTATTGCCAGAATTCATATTATTTCGAAGTTAACTCACAATATCGGGATTTCACGTGACAATGTTATTGTTTATACAAAAATTTTACCAATCTCTTAATAGTTATTTGCAATTGTTATTCGTTTTAAGTTGGGAACTATGTTATTAAAGATGTGTACATATCTTTGGTTTATATCACAATGTTCAACTTTCATTTACATTACGATGGGGGTAAACTATCAATATTTTATACAAAATTCCGTATTTTAGTATTACTATAGAAATGTCACTTACAATAGCAACAAATGAAAAGAAACCGAAAACATGTTGCCACGTGAAAATACCGAGTAAAAATTTACGAAAGACAATTAAACATCAATTATTGCGATAAACGTATCGATACGAAGAAGGCATACAAGTTATTACTTTACGTTGTATTAAAGTTAGAGAATACACATTACGCGCGTTTCCTTACCACCAGTGGGACTCGCCAGCTGATTGTAAGACCACGAAACATTCGTCACGAGGACTAAGCAATACTTGAATATCGCCAAATATTATTGATGGCGTTAAAAGTATTCTGCTATTCCGCGACAAACCATGACACTCGATTAAAAAATGAAGGCCTCCTAGTCTACGTGCTAATTTTGATATAAACAATATTAAAAATGTTCTGCTTACTAACTGTAACAGTACGTACAGCAAGGATGGGGGCGCTTGTTCAATGAAACCTTTATACCGGAGGTTTCACGCGCTCCGCTCCCTTCACAAATAAGTCTCTACGGACATATGTTACAAATATTACATCAAAAAAGCATTGCAAGTGCACTTTTATAAATTTTAAAATTCCAATTTACTGTAAAAAAGTTGATTTAGGTCAGATTTATTTTTTATTTATAAATAATTTAAAATGCATTTCGCTGCTGCGAAATGTTATGTTTTCCTACAAAACCGCAAAATATATGTGACGCTGCCAGCAGCAAAATGAGGAAACTACCGTCCAGCAATACTTTCACAACGAGACCTCCAGGCTGGTCCTAGTGTACACTGTCACCAGGTGGTGAGGGAACACAGTCCGTATATCGCAACACTGTGATGTTACACATCGGATACGAATGAAATTTAACGATGACGACGAATAGCTTAGGTCGAATATTTACACGTAAATCCGATAGTCGGTATTACACTCGCGATAATATGAAGTAGAGGCAAGGAAACGACGCTGTCGGGGCGAGCGAGGCGGAGTCAGGCGGGGCGGTCGGGGCGGGGCTGCAGGCGCAGCGTCAGCCGCGTCAGGCGCGTCAGCCGCGTCAGTCGCGTCAGTCGCGCCGCCACCACCACGCCCGTCGCCGCCCGTTACCCGTGGCTGCCGCCCGACCCCACGCCCGGCGTCGTGGACCCGCCGCCGCCCTGCGCCGGGCCCGCGCCGTGGCTCGGCGGCAGCAGCACGCCCTGCGGAACGAACACGTCAGTCCGCCTCCCATACACACAATAAACAAGCAATGACTTCACTGGAAATATCTTTGACAACAATGAGACAATTGAAAAGCAGAAGGTAACCCTTTAGTTAAGTGATGGTCAACAATGTACCTGGATTGAGTGTGGGTGAGGCTGCGGCGGCGATGCGGTGGGAGGCGCGTGATTCAGGTACGCAAGGTGATGGTGGTGGTGGTGGTGGCCTCCAGATCCCCCCGGACCCATCAAGGGACATAGCACCTGGTGATACGCCTGGACACACGACAGACACATCGTTACGAACAAGACAAACATAATTTCGCCAGCAACATGATGTTAGAAACATTGAGAAAAGCAGATCCCAACACATTTGATTCTTAACATTGTCATAACCCATTCAAAGTTCAACAATTTTGAAATTTTGGTGATCAGCTGTCAAAAAGCGGAGATGCTAGAACATCAAGCTACCCATATCTGTAAAATTACAAGTTTAATATTTTACAGGTAAGGGTACGCTGACGTTACCGTAGTATGTACGTACGTTTACCTGAAACGGAGGCTGTTGGAAATGATGGTGCGGGTGTGGGTGCTGGTGGGGGTGCGGGTGGGGAGTGTGCGCGGGCGAGGGGGGCGGGTACAGCGCGGGCGACGCGGCGGCAGGCGACGGCGCGGGCGGGGGCGCGTAGCCCACCTGTCCGCCGCCCACACCGCCCACCTCACCGCCGCCCAGCGCGCCCCCGGCGCCCACACCGCCCACGCCCGATACGGCGCCCACTGAGCCTCCCACGCCACTGTGGTACATCCGTACCTGTGGCAATGTCGTGTCACTCAATGATTTGAAACGAATTACGTTTTTCTTTATGCGCCCATCTCAAAAATTCTTAATGGCAATAACGTGGAACAAGGTTCGTTGGTCTTGAAACTCGTTGATAACCTTGATTTTACGGTTGTATGTTTTAAGTAAGCATTGTCTGCAGCTGGTAGATTTTTGGTCTAACTTAAACCTAACTTAATGTGTTTGATTCAGTAACTACATAGGTATTATGGGTGGTAATAAAAGGGTAAATATTATTTACTTGTAGTCTACATACTCATTCCACGCTATACCAAACTGCAAAACGAATGGTGTATGGACTAAGAACCTATGTAATATTTAGTTGAACATGCCACAGGCGAAGCTGGGCTCAGACTCGGCTCGGTCTCCCGCTGGTAATCCTTTAGTTTGTTCATTTAAACTGTCAAACACCAAGCGGTCACCGGTGACCGCGACCTATTGTTCTTTAATTGTGTCTATAAAACCGGTACTCGACGAGTTAATTATATTTTATTCTTTTTCATATAAAATAAATAATATTTAAGACATCGGTGCGATTTACTTCTTTTTTTTTTAATTTTTACCAAAGACTATTTTACACTCTTAATTATTCTTATGCATCGACGTATGCATTAGAGCACGACTGTCGAATGACTAAGGGTGTGATGTTATCCGCTATTACGCATTATTACGACGCACTGTCACCATAAAAAAAACACAGTAATGTTTCAAGATACGAAATTAATAAAAACGCAGTCTTTCTTGTAGTATTTTTTATAGATTTATTACGAATCCATTAATATAATCTATAACTCACCATGTGTGGGTATGGAAGCGCGGACTGTGCAGGGTGGGGCGCGGGGTGTGGGTGTGGGTAGGGCACAAACTGCTGCATAGGGGCGGGCGCCATCAGGGGCTGGCCCGTCGCCGCCGCTACCTGCATGCCTGAACCTGTAGATAATATACAGTTACTTACATGTTACATTACTACCGGGTTTATAAAAGTTGTGTAACGAAAATATTATTGAAATAAGATAAGAGCTTAGGATGCAATTTCTTCATAATCATAACTCGTAGCATTTGTCTTTAGATTTGAACATTAATAAAAATAATAAAAGAATACCTTGTAATCTAAATATCGATATTTGAACTTTACTTAGGTTAAGATATCTTTGACCATTAACAGAATTAGGCATGTCATCATTCATATTGTATGCAAAGCAGTATTTTTTAACCAATTTATTAAACTAACGCCCGAATACTGAAAGGTTATTCAATTTTAAGTCGCGCTTAAGTATAGTTCTGTCACAACAAATTCTTTATAAAATGACAGAGATGGCAAGATATTTAAGTACAAACATTGAGTAGTCTCTCGGTATTCGGGCGTAATATTGTTAAAAAGGTTAATGTATGTGTTATAGAAAATACCTTTACGGAAATTCCTGGGCTGTTGCGTCTGCATGGGAGGCTGACCACCCCCACCTGTGACGCCGGCAACTCCGCCACCGCCTCCCATCGCTCCATATGCCAACTGTACACATTACAATATGATATCATTAGTAAAATGTTATTTCTACTAGGAAGAGGAATTGCTAGGCTCTAATAATATGGTATTTAGTAAAGTATGTATGTTAATTTCTGGTGGAATAATGGAGGAATTTCGTTTTGGTTCAGATGTGTTAAGATAAACATGGTTGTAAAATTGAGTGTCGTATAAATGGATTTGATTTATGGTTATAGAAATGTCTGTTCAATACGAATCTTATAGAAATAGGAAGTGAAAAGAGGAGCGTCATTTATTATGTTTGAAGTCCAGAATTGCATCTCACATGCACACGTAAATAATAATTTGAAGTAATAATACCTTTTAGCCAATGTTTTCCTAAATATGTTTAAAGTGTCTGATAATAATTTGTCTAATTTATGAAACAAATAGACAAGAGAGAGTATAAAAACGTTGATGGAAAATATCGCAGTCACGATCAAAGTCTAGTTAAACAGTAGTTTACACTATATTATCGATCATCGACAGATGTATGTAATTATTTTTATTTTCTCCAATATCTAGCGATAACCTCAGATTACGAATAAATTACATAGATAACAGTATCCGTGTGTGAATTCATATCTATGAAATGTTATACTGTATGTTGTTTCGTGTCTTTATTAATGACACATTGAATTTAAACATAAAAAGGATTCTTTGGTGGATGGATATAGGAAGATATTTTCCACAAGTTTCTCATTTATAAAGAAGAGGTATCTATCTAAAGAGTATCAATTTAAATACAAAAAAATTACCCCATAAACCCATCATCGTTATAAAACAAAAAAGTGTTTCTTTCACAGTACCGATAAACCAGCAATAAAATAGATGAGTGAATCCGTAAAGAAAAGCGTAATTAATTAATATTTATGAGATGAACTATCGTTATCATGACGGAAACATCACGAACTTTGGTCTAGGACGCACAGAGTACGTATGTAGAGGGTAGTGTCCGTGTCTATTTATGTTGAATGCCAGTTTAAGTCAAAATTAACTATTTTGTGTTTGGGCATTCATCACCAGCCGTCCATTCATTGCTTTTTTTAAGGGGGGAAAATCATCGAATGACTGCTCTCGCCTGGGTGAGGCGGGAAGGAGTGTCAGACTCTTACTGACTAAAATCCACCCCGTTCCTTCTCCTGCACGTCGAGCCGGAGCCCCGGTTACCCGTTAGGTTCTCCGCGACGTCCATTCATCGCTAACGTCTGGTCATCAGACGGCGCAACAGACGTTAGCCTGATCTTCCTAACCGGTTTGAAAGTCATTGGGAGATCCCAGGGTATTCTAAATCGTTCACCTAGAAAGGTGTATTCAGCATCTCTCTACGACCTATATCAGGTTGTCTGTCTCCTTAGAAAGGACATTATTTGGGCCAAATTTGGCTTTTTTGTGATACTACTAGAGTTACCTTTAATGTTAAAGAAACAGGTTTCACAAGTCTATAGCGATATTAAAATATTCAATGAAATGTCATCAAGATATTCTGAATAATTAAAATCTAGTCTCCGATATTATAAATTCAACATAATTAATTTTATAGACCTTTGAGATCACGTGTTTTTTGATCACAATGTTATCAAATAATCGCTTTTGTTGTGGATACATGTGGCTGGTTGATATCGTCTGATTGTGAGGATTATCACTGTTAATTAAATATTTTGGTGAAAGCAAATATTGTGTTGTTTAAGTCCTGAGGTATTGTTGACATAGGTCTTTAAAAATTTACTTAATGACCGGCTATTAAGGAGATAAAATATTCGAGTCTAACAACTACGAATAAAAAGGAATCAATAAGTAAAGATTCGCTGCTTATCCGCAACTTCAAATCATTTAATTATTGGTGACGGACAGCCAGACAATCGAACACAGTTCATAATACGGAATGGATAACGATAAATTTGATAACGGCCACGCGGCCCAAGCTGATAATTAGTCCGTTCACATGATTTGACATTTGTACAGATAAATCTTTCAGTGACATTGTGGGAACGGCGATGTTAGCACAAATACATAAGAACTGAATATATCCGTGACTTCATCTGTGTAAATATATTCTTCACATTCTAAGTGTACCGACTCAAATACTGTGTTAAAATGTGGTTTTTCTGGGTGCTTATAGCTCTGATTGTAATAAAAACGTATAATAAAATAACAAATGGAAAATGTTACGCTGACAATGTGATGAGCGGTAAAGTTGTGATCGTGACGGGCGGTAACAGTGGGATTGGGTATGAGACTGCTTTGGAACTGGCTAGGAGAGGCGCTAAGGTTATATTGGGCTGCCGAGACGAGAAAAGAGGCCAAAAGGCCGCGGATTCTATTGTAAAAAAGACGAAGAACCGATCCGTAAGATATATGCACCTGGACTTAAGTTCATTCGCTTCAATCAGAAAGTTTGTTGAAGATTTCAAAACTTCAGAAGCCAAACTTGACATTTTGATAAACAACGCCGGAGCTAGCGGTGTGCACAGGGACAGGACTGAAGATGGACTCATCAGAGATATGCAAGTCAACTACTTCGGACCGTTTTTATTAACAGTACTCTTGACTCCTTTGTTGAAGAAGTCAGCTCCAAGCAGGGTTATTATTGTGACGTCGACCTTACATAGGTTTGGTACGATCAGCGATCTGAACAACCCTCATTCCTTCATCAGAACATATTGTGATAGTAAACTATGTAATATACTATTCAGCAATGAGCTAGCAAGGAGACTGGAGGACACGGGGGTTAGCGTGAACAGTTTACACCCTGGTCATGTCAACACGAGTTTTTACAAGGCAACTATTCTAGAAAAATTAAGGACCATGATATTTTACACGTTCTTCAAAAACCCTATAGAAGGAGCTCAAACTAGTTTGTATTTGGCGATATCCGACGACTGTGATGAAACAACTGGGGGATACTTTGTTGATTGTAAACCGGGGTACATGGGTATGAAGGCAAGAAACGAAGATTTGGCTGCAAAATTATGGGACATGTCTGAACAAATGGTTGGATTGAAACCTGAAGAGAGTATTTAAGTTATTATAACTTTAGATTAAATAAACGACTGATGTTTGGTTATTAAATTAAAGTTTAGTGCACTTGAAAACAACAAATTCGGTATTAAGGCAAACCACAGCAAACAACATGGATGTTAGTATTTAAAACGATAAACTTAAGTGCTAGGTATATTGTGGAGAATAAATTGTTTTTATCTCTTAATTAGTTTTGTATTTACATTGCTATGTAAGATAGAAGTATATAAACGGACGTCATTATACATTATATGCAGTCTTATCGCTGGAAATACTTAGCTTGATTGAGTATCATCTCATTTTGACGTTGCATTTGTGGTGTTACTATTTCCTTATAATTTTAATAATTTAAGCTATTTCAGTAGTTTTCAAAAGATGTGGAGTTAGACACTGTGACCTTTGCCCAGAAATTAGAACTTTTAACTAAGTAATTGCACTAATCGTATCTTCTTGTTATTGTAGACAAACGAGTGCAAATGGTGCACTATCAATGTGCTTTCTACACGTAGAGAATTCCTACTATAGTACTAATAATATCAAATTCAAAATCGTGAAATGAGACAACGTGGAACTATTTTTTTGTTTGCAAATCGACCCGGCAAGAGGTTGATTAACGGTTTCACGTATTTTCCGACATAACCCAAAGAGAGCTATGAAAAAATTACGATATCGCGTGTATAAATTATAGTTGCTTAATGAATTATCCGTTACTTTATTTCCCATCTAGCAATTAAGTAACTAATACGAAAGGTGTTATATACTATGAACCTTTGTCTTTTATATTTGATGGGCCAACGTTTGACCACTATCTCGCTTTGTGGTAAGCGATGATGCGGTCTACGATGGAACACGTGGTCCCATAAGCAACCTATTCACTCGGGCCTTGAAGACACCCAGATGTAAATATTCACTGCATAAAAATATTATTGTGTTCTCTTCTGCTACCATAAAAGTTCCCTAACCATTCACACGTGAAACACTAATCAAAGTGCTTTAATCCGTGTTGATATCAAAGCTCCCGTTTTTTGCTTAAACTCGCATATTATTGGCTGTTAAATAATAGAAAATCACTCGAGGCATTAGTTTTGGGTACGTAGAACAGTTAAGATTATGTGATTGTGTTGGTTGGTGACAGAATATGTAAGAAATGGATACTTTACAAGTTGAATTTGCAATAATAATATGTTGTTTAGACAAAATAGCAAGGCAAAGGTGGCTTAGCATTTGATGGCCTAACTACATATCATTTTACGAGTTATTTAAAATCTAGAGGCACCGTAATACAGCTGTTATAGAAAACGTCATTTGGAATATTTAGATGAACTATTGCTACAAGATTTGATCATGTACTAAAATGTACTATTTTTATCACAATAAAGTATCAATTTCCCACAAAATCCGCGGCGGGGTTAGCCAGGCGGTTAGCTCGGCAAGCACCCGTTTGTACAACATTATTACGACACACTGCGGAAAACTTAACACTGCACGCGGGCGACACCTCAACTTATAAACATTTGTGACTATAATGCCATTGAAAAATTAACTAAAAACTGAAGATAATAAGATCAAACTTGACTTACACGTTATAAGCTTAAATTACATTGAAAAATCAACTAACAGGTTTAGAGATGAGGTCGAATTTAGCTCAAACTCTAGCTTTTTGGTCGTTTCGTCACAAATATTAGTGTTGAAGTGTCGCATTGTGCTCACCGCATCAGGGCGGTCCCTTTTGTCGGGCACCATGAATATTGGCGGCCCGTACTGTCGGCAATCGCACCCCATCTCCATCTGTCGCCCGCATATATTTATGTTTGTTAATTAGTATTTTCGGACTATATATTGTTTTGAAATTATATACTATACTATATAAATAAATAAAATATTAAAGTAATTTCGCGAGATTATCGCGAAGTTAGGAGTTGTGTTCATTCAAACTCAGTAACTTGACAACCTATAGACGGATCTTGACATAATGATGAACATTTACTAACGATTTCAAAGATAAGTAATTATATTTACAGAATAATTACGGATCCTTAGTAATGCTTGTAATTAGTCGTGTAACCTCGTCGAACAGTTCCGTGAAATGTGAGTAAACATATCGACAATAGGCACCGGTGATTTACTTTAGCAGAGAATTTGCCTTCGATTATTTTCTATCGACCGTCGATGTCTAAAGTTATGTCTACATCGTTGTCAAGTGACTGAACGACAACAAATAAGACGTTTAGCAACACTTACCGCAGGATGTGGATGCGGCAAATAGGCTGGCGGTTGCTGGGCGGCGGCGGCGGCGGCCGCCATCATGGCGTAGGGCACGGCCGCCACCTGCGGGTAGCACTGCATGGCTGGCGGCGGCACCGGCGCAGACACGTAGCTCACGCCCGGGCCCATCACGCTCACGCCACCTAGGTTCACACCTACGCCGCCCACGCCGACCCCTACGCCGACGCCTACGCCTGATGGCGTGCCTGGCGTGTGGGGACTGTAAAGAAATGGGTTAATGATTGAGTGTCTTTCAATTGTAAATGTGATTGTCTAAAAACGGGTTAAAACTCATTTCATTCCTCTGACTCTGGTATACGGCTTGAAACTGAATGACACGGTTTTATGATCTCTGTAATTACCAAGCAAGGAAATATTGTAATTATCAAAAAGAAAATTTCAAGTTTAACATGAACATTAGTACCTAAAACATAGTAATCTTAATGAACCAAATAAAAAGCAGCAACTTACCGGCTCGGGTTCGGAGTGCTGGGACTTCTAGGTGTGAAAGGCTTCGCAGCCGGGTTAAACTCCTTAGCATTAGGGTTGAGAGTAGACTTCTTGATAGCGACTACGCGATCCATTCCTGGCGATGCAGACGACGGAGGCGAAGCAGACGGAGCCGAGCGCTCCTCTTGTACTGAAGGCGACTCGCCTTTTGGTGCCGGTGTACTCTGCTACAATATATATATACCAAAATGTAAAGTTAAAATCTCGTTAGGGCACTAATTAAACGGGTATGTTGCGCAAATTTACAGTTCTGTATCGGTCATGCGCTATAACAATTAGGTTATGATGTTTGATGCGTATTAGATTGTCTTTTTTGACCACATCGTTAGCCGAGTATGCGGTTTGCGACAGTACCAGTGACTAAGTACCTACAAGAATTTGGGATATTATCAGCTTTAGCATGGAGCTAGGAATAGAGTCTAATAAACTTCAATTTACTATTTGCAAGGAGATTAAATGTGAAAAGTAGATCTTAAAATATATTTTCACTTATGCTAAAACGTTTAGGGGATTGTAAAACGCATAATAGTATGTTACGCATTGTTAATAATGCGCAGAACTTGCGAAAGTTGTTACTTTCGTCCCTTATAAGCACAAATAGACATAAAATATTAATTACGTAGCGAAATAGATCTTATGCTTACGTTTTTTTGACGATTAATTGATTATAGAAGACGAGCAAAACGAACATCATAAAGCTGTATGCGGTGGCTAGTAGCAGTATGTTACCTTGTGGTGTTCTGGCGGGGTGTGTTGTTTGGGCGGCCGCTCCCGCTTGTGGTCGGGCGCCGCGCACGCGTTGGCAGACACCTCGGGGGGACTCGGCGCCGGCGGGGGCTGGCTCTGGGGGGATATTGGTATCAGTTCATGTCATTCAAGGTATGTGCGGATCATAGTAGGAGAAGTGTACTTTCTTATGTATGTACGCACCATCAGACAAAATGGGGAAATATGGTTAGGATGTCCATGTTACGTATTGCAATTAGTTAAGTTGCCTCACCTCATAAGTTAATTTAATTGGTTTAACTTTTTTCAGACTGTTTCTGATAAACGACGCTGAGAGGTAATCTTTATTAGTGGACTGGTTATCTGTATGATTCACTTGACTTAAAAAAGTCAGATTTAGCGTTTGAGACCCTTTTCAAAATCAACGTAATCTTATACTATTATATAAAGCGGAAGAGTTTGTTTTTTTGTTTGAACGCGCTAATCTCCGTAACTACAACTCTGATTTGAATAATTATTTTTGTCTTGGATAGCGCATTTATCGAGGATGGCTATAAAATATCACGCTACGACCAATAGGAGCTGAGCAGAGCGTGTAAAACCACGCGGAACTAGCTAGTTGTGATATACAGGGTGTAAACAGAACACTCCCAACAGGCTGACAAAAGTCATCGTTTTTACAATTATAATCGTTTTTGTATTTGTAATATTCATGCAACATCTGCCTTGAGCAGTTAATTACAACTATTATTACATAAAAGAAACATTTGATTCCTTACTTTAATGAAAATAAAACTCGTTTTTATCATCACCTGTCGGCGTTTTACGGGAGCGTTGTTTACACCCTGTATTGGAACAGATATTGTGGTTAACCATTCTAAAGATCTAGCAGTAGACTGTTCTGATAATGACATTATACAAGCAATATGATCACATACGGGTGGCTGAGCATTGATGGGTGGTTGTGGCTGTTGTGGATGCTGCGGTAATGGCGGCAGTGGCTGCGGCGTCGGCATCAACTTGAAGTCCTGCGAGAACTTGCGCAGCTCCTGCACGCCTTCCTCGGGCCGTCGGGGCTCGTGGCGCGGCTCGTGGCGGGGCTCATGGCGGGGCTCGTGGCGGGGCTCGTGACGTGGAGGCCGACCATGTGCTTCGCCGCCACCTACTGGGTTCTAGAGACGAGATAAGTTAATTAGTAATTGAGAAAAGATAATATACTTCTTGAAAATGCCAGTATCATAACTTTCTGGTGCTGCAGGTGTCTAAAGCCTGTGTTAATCGCTCACCATCAAGCAACTTGTCTGCTCGTTTGTACCTCATCCCTCAAAAATTCTGTCTTTTGTTAGGTCGATCTGACGCATGCACGCATTTACTATTGTTTTTATATCTCGTAAAATCTTGTTTTTATCCATATGTAGAATGATTTCAAGTCGGTGCAATACATTCATCTTTCAATTTGTCGAATCACATTTATAAATCCCAAATAGTAGGTATGCAGATACGATTACGTCGCAGAATAGAAAATAGTAATTGAAAACAATACCATACTTTTTTATTAATTTGTTTACGATAGACACGTACGTGGGGGTGGTGGGGTGGGAATCCTTGCCGTGGGTGCGGCGGTCGCGGCTCACCGTTCACTTTGTTTGCGTTATTTGGAGGCCTGGAACATAATAATACTTAAATTAATATACAAAATGTAGAGGACCTAGTTAGGCCAGTAGAAAAGTCATCAGGATCGAAATTGGATTAACCAAAATAAACTTGTCTGAGCTTGTTGAAATATCGTACCCTAAATTTGTTCATACAAAAGTAGTCTCTATACATCGGAAATAAGGTCTATAATTGAGTTAGTGTAGAGCGGTCACCGGTGAACGCTTGAGGATTGAGCAGTTAAAGACTAATTTTAGCATGCTATGATGTAGACTTTCACCCTCGTCATGGTCCTACTTCATTTCAAAAGGTAATGTCGTCAGATTGCACTGTGATGATTCCAAGAGTATCTAATTGCTATGTGAAGGTAATAATGAAGTTTACGTACTGGTGCGGTGCGTGTGGGAATGGCGGTACATGGTAAGGTCCCTGCGCCGCCTGCGCCGCGTAACTCTTGCCGCCAGCACTGTTGGGGACGCTCAGAGGCTGTGGGAACAAACACATTTTATTATAGTTTAACACAAAGTTCGACAAAAGACACAGCAAACATCAGTTGACTGTGGGACGCTCGCCGTTGTTATTGTACAAAACACGATAGCGTGTATTGAAACTAATCGCGTTACGTGACTAAACCATTAAACATACACGAATAATTACAGATATCTCTATCTCATATTGAGGGTAGCCAATATCAATGAAATTCCAAATGGCAAAATTTTAACCATCCCAGTATTTATCACCCAAATCATAAATCCTCATTCGTTGAAACTTCTAGGTATGAGAGAGCCTTGCTTCAAGTACGACTGTGCCGTCTCGCACGCCCTCACAAAAAACCAGTGTGAAAATATTGAAGCATTGTTAGTGAAATAACAGAGATCCATCCCTTCCCATTGCAAAAGGCCGTTGCTGGTGGTGGTGACACCGATTGCTTACAATCAGATGATTCGTCTACTTATTTCCCGATATATTCCATAAGTGACATGGAGCAGTATCTTACCGCGTCGTCCTGGCGCCGGTCGGCGGGCGGAGTGAGATGTGGCCTGGGTGCGCGCGGCTCCTTGTCCTTGTTGGCGGCGGGGCCGGGCGGCGGCGCCGCGGCACCCGGCCCGGCGCCCGGGCCCGCCCGTACCGCGCCCATCGGTGGAGAACCACCGTTGTTTGTCGTTGTGGGTTTTACTAGTTTGCCAGTCTGGGTGAAAGAAAAAGGAATATGTTTATTAAAAGATGATGGTACACTAGCTAGAATATAGGTAAGTATTTGTCCGTACGTACTCTTTACAGGAATCGATGGAAGACCATATTTAACAGAGACTAGACAGCATTAGTAGCAATATTTCGTTTTATATCTAAAAAAATCATCTTTCTGTCTCTATATCAAATGATGTCAGGTGGATGCAATACACCTTTCATTCTTCTCATTCGGAAATTATCAAGTTACAAACTCCCCTTTTAGATACTACAGTTTAACACCTGAACTTTTTAAACTGGGATATCTAACCAAGCCTGAGGATTAAACCCTCTTACGGAGAGAAATCTCATAGCCCACCTGTGGACTGTGTCGAGATGTTAATGTCTAGAACAACGAGTTATTTCATGGCAGTCGTGATTACAGCATTTGGCAGGTAATCACTCAATGTTATTCTTATTGACAACATTTACGTTTGCCTAATAGAATTAAAACCTGACTTTGAAGGGTAAGAAGGGTAAGTTTCACAAATAATAATTATCTTCTCATCTATTATGCAAATACTATTAAAGATTGTAGTAATACATAGATTAAAGGTTGTAAAACATATATAAACTTCACAGACTATTAAATAATAATACCAACTTATCTATAAAGCTTGAGACGACTGTAAGATGATTATAACATTCTTCATATTATAAATGTGAATGGACAATCACTAAAGACCATCTCGACCTAGTATTTAACTTATATTATTATTACAAGAAACAGAATTAACATAAATTAGCAAAGTACAATGAAACCGACGACGAAATCAATCGATTCTGTTCTGCTAGCAAGCAAATGTGATAAAACTTTATGATTATGTAAATAATAAGGAAATATCAGCGCTGCAACGGAATACTTTGCATGAATTAACATTCATAAATATTATTACGTTACTGTATCGGAGTTGTTTAGTCGATTTTTTTTAGTTTAGTCGAGTTACAAAAAAGTCGTTTCATATTGATTTATCCTTTTAGAATTTATTTTAAACACGAGCAAAAGGTAACAAATGCGTATTTTTATATTGTTCGTGAGCCGGTGTTTGGCTACTATCGTAACTGGTGGTAAGCAATAATAATCTTGATGTTGGCGCATAGGCCTGCACATAAGCAACCCGTGGTTCCTTATTTCGGGTAACGTCCAGTTTCTATAACCTATCTATCTGTAGATTTGCTTACTAGAGATAGAATTTTGACATGAGCTCCATAAAAAATGTGTCAAAATTTTATCTCTAGTAAGCAAATCTACAGATAGATAGGTTATAGAAACTGGACGTAAGGGGGATCGAACTTTAGAGCCTGACAAAATTATTATTTAATGTTTTTACTTTTGTTTTTAATCTGTCGTGTGTCTAAACGTGGATCCACGCGAGACATAATGTATTTTCTATTGTGTTTCATATACAGGCATTCCAGCGGTTAATACTCAATTGGAAATTGTATTTAGTGCTATCTTCATTATGTTGCCATTGGCCAATTTTTTCAGTGAATAAATGCCTCATATTATAATACATACCTGCATATTCTTCCTCCTATTAGGAATGACGTATTTCCCAGCGCTGGAGGCCCCGTCCTGCGGTCGCACGACGGCCGCGAACCTCTCCTCCTCGTCTCCGTTCTCCAGCTCGATGCGAGCCTTCGATGACGCGGCGTTCTCAATCTCCGCCGCTATCTCTTCTGCTTTTGCTTCCGCGTCCCTATAATCGATATACAGATGGTTATTTCAAAGCTCCGTTGGTAAACAAAAAAATTACGTGTCGTGTAGTTTCCCCGACGTAATCACCGTTTGATTTAGATGAAAATGTGTAGATAAATCACCATTTTGTTAATTGACTTTGTTTCAAAAAATCCAGTGGGATCATAAGGTGACTAAAGAAGGTTTTAGGTAAAGGAAGGTAAGATGGTAAGTAACTAAAGAATGCAAAATATCCTATAGAATCGGAAACGCTCTGGTGATGGCCTCTCATAGTTGGTAGAGATCAGCGCAGCCTAAGTACAGAGTACTTAGGATTGCGCTGAAGCAGGTTTATTTTTATTAGTGTTAGTAGTAATAATTGTCTCACCTATAATCCTGAGTATCCTTCCGCTGCAGCGGCAGTGTGTACCCAGCTAAAGAGTGATCATACGTGCTGTGCACTCCATAGACCTCCTCGTTCTTGCGGAACATGTCGTTCGCGTCCCAGCCGTTGGCGCGATGATCCAGCTCCAAATCTTCGAGTAGAGCGTCTCCGTTCAGCTGTGGAGCCTCACCTACTTCTGTATCGCAGCCGTCCCAAGGCTCCAAATATCGTTCTTCACCAGTTCTGCCGTTACCAGCGGCGACACCTGTGAGGAGAGAAGGCAACGTCAGTACTGTTTTGTGACAAGATAACTCTTTGAGAATTATGCTCATGCTAAAATCTCTACGAGAAACTGAACTCCATTCGGGCTGATACAAGTAAGTTCAATCTTAAGTATACTTCTAAAGGTAAAAAATATTATGATTATTGTCCTTTGCTGTTGGTATAGTTACATATCTAAAAAGACATGTCTTTGTCCCATTAGCAGAGACTAAAACAACTACATACATACTTCTTTAACTTTCATCACATTCATGGTATCTGGCCTTACAAGCAGATTAGTTAAGTAACACATTCCACATTAACTCTTGAGCCCTACTGATAAGAATTGATTTTCTATAACACTTCAATCATATTACGCTACCGCTCCACTCCTTTGAAACTAAGCACTCAAGTTCTGCCATAAAATAAAGCACTATCAAGTACCTGCTAACTTAATTTTGCAACAAAATGATATAAGATTGAACTTTAAACCACACAATATTGTATTAGTTAATGGTTCCATTAAACAAAACATAATTGTATTACTATTTAATATTTCCAGGTAAATTCGTAATAATCATACTTGTAGACAGAAAGGTGACCAACCCATAGGTTTCCATGTAACTTGCACTTTCTATACATGGTGTAGATCATTAGTCACTTGACTTAACCATAAACGCTTATCTGAAGTGGATTTGCCCATTACAAAATTTTTAAGTCAATAAATTATAAGTTAACTTTTTGAGTTACAAGTTTGGGGTCAAAAACTTGAGGGTCTTGGAAATGATAACAAATAGCTTTGTTTTAAAACAAGGCTTCCAAGCTAAGTGCGAAAGGGCCCAGTTTTCTATACATATAAAAGTAAGTACGGTCCTATTTATTAACAATATTGGGTTGATTAAATACTTAAGGAAGCTTCGAGAATCGACCTCAACCGCCTTGTAGTTACTTAACAATAGTTTTTGCAACGACTGAATCACAGAGTATAAAATAACTCACCATTAAACTTGCTAGATATAGCACTATCTGTTTGGAAAACGTCATGCGTGGCGTATTCGAGGTCGGAATCCTTAGCCCTAATGGATACCACATCCTGGGGTTTGAAAATGAGTTTCTCAACTACGGAGTCAACCGCCACCACGCCTTCTTGATCCACGCGGTGAGCCACTTCTAATACAACCTGGAAAAAAGAAAAATATACTATTAATAAACCATTCCACTGTTAAGAGCCTATATTTTATGGGACTGTTGTAACTCTTATGCACTAGATTCCACAGTTAATATAACCGTGAAAACAGCAAAATATTGAAATCCAGCGCATCTAAGGGATATGAACAACTGTCTTGGATCCCGTAACGAAATAAATGAAAACCTATGAACTTGGATCAACTCTGTGTGATCCACAAATTATTGTTCCGGGTCTAGTTGTGTTTTGTAAGTGAAAATATTTTTCTAAACGCAACTATGACACAGGAGAACATCCTTGTGAAGGATACGTTTAAACGAGAGATATAATAAATTACCCTGATACCTTTTTGGACATTTTCTTCTTGGAAGACCGTTGTCTCTTATTTGAGGTCATTTGATTGAAATTCAATAAAAGTTACGATTACAATAGACAAGAAGGAACGACTCCCTAACCAATTGTGATCGAAAATTGGAGAAAGCAAGCTTTATAAGCTCGCCACAACTAATTACGTTACCTTAAGCAATTAGAAGTAGGTATTGTATTTTCGTTATTATGATAACTAATGACGTGCAAATGTGCTTGCAAACAATATTAATGACGTTTGATTACAATACTTTTTGGAAAGGAATTACCTTATCAGCGTTATCGATAACAAAGCGGTTGTCTACGTGGCATTTTAAAGGGAAAGATCTATCTTCGTAGGTTTTTAAAACAAAAGAATACCTACAGTCTTATATCAGTATGTAGTATCTTGACCTTGTCATTGCACTTCCCAACGGATATGAATAATGAAAGTCATATTTTTATTTCTATACTGGCTTCTGCCTACGTCTTCACCTGCGTCGCCGTGGAGAATAAATAGCCTGTGTTATTCTGGACCTTAACCTACCCCTGTGCCAAATTTTATACCGATCCCTTCAGCCATTTTGAGGTGATTGAGAAACAAACATACACACAAAGATTCGCATTTATAACAATAGTAGTTTGTTTAGTCAAATAGTTAAAATATTCCACAAACTATTTGATATACAAGCTACATATATTTCTCAGAATTAAGTATGGAACATTTGTTTATAACAACCCAAACGTTATATAAACACGAATCGACTTATAAATGCATTGTTCTGCCTCCATTGTTGGCAATATATTAGGGAGTATCATTTCTCAAAATATACTTTTAAAAACGTCTTGATTATAAAAGATAGATTGGCAATTACTGGTTAAAGTCAGATGACGGGATCCTGGGTGAACAAACCTTTGTTTTAACTAACTGAAAATAGTTTGTGCCTGGTCAGTTGTATAAGGAGTATTGTAAAGATTCGTTTTTGCAAACTTTAAACCAGACAGGTAGGTCAACGAACTCGTCGGGGATTTGAAAATGTTTATTTTTTTAAATTGAATTACTTCCAGCTTTGTTATTTTTCTTTCCTATACTATATATGAGTTCTAATGAATGTACATAAGTAATTTATGAGTCTTTTAAGTGGATTGACTAGTTTATTAGACACTTATATTTAAACCCTCAATAGATTAGCTAAGTTCAAAATTACATCTCAAAACACAAACTGCTAGTCACTTAATATTTGAAGTGTTCTGTCAACCATTTCTTTAAAAATATCAACAACTTTTTTCTAATCTAAGTGGGGCACTTGAAAATTAACATTTTCTTTTACTTACAGAAAACAAATCGTAAGAACCTTTCAGTCACGATTTGTTAAAGTTTTATTATTATAAAATACCGTTTTTACGTGCAAATTATCAGTAAAAAGTGGAGGACGTGACCTTGAGCGAGTCGAGACGTCGGATGAAAGTATAACTGGATTTTATTATCAGTTATGGATGCACCGGTCGCGTTTACTCGGCGGAATTTTTCGAGTCAACACCTGATTTCGTATTATGTTGACTTAGGTCCTTTACGTGTTTTTTTTAAACTGTTTTTTGATATAAACGATTGTTTTGTTAAGATACTCATTAATGGTGTTTAAGATTAAAACATATTACTTAATTTTAGTTAATACGTCATGCCTAAACTAAATGTCCAATAACCGGTGACCATTTCTTGTAAAAGCAACGTCTAGCTCGCTGGTAGGTATGTGTATCTTATTGTACATCTCAATAGTAGCTCAAAACACAAGTATTTTCTATTAGACTTTAAAAAAACGTTTCAACACGTACCTGAACAACTTTTGTAGGTAACTACGTAAGGTAGTACACAATATACAATAACAAAACTTATCAAAAACCAAACAAAATGCGTATAATCTGAGAGGATATTCTCTAATCTATCACTTTAGTATTACACATTACATTATCCTGCGGTGTCACCTTTTATCACCTTGTGAAAGTGATTGGTTAAGCAAATATAGACAGTCACTGTCCGTTTTAAGTCACGGATTAAACTGTAAATCGAGAAGAGAAAACAGATTTTACAAAGCTAGTAAAATTTTGGAACTGTTCGCCATAATCTTGATCATAGAATCATTAAGATATTTTTAATATTAGGTAGATGTATGTGGGTGGTTATTTACAAATTGGTGTTGTTGATTTGATTTCAAACGTTACCCAATACAACGAATTTAAGGTTTTATTTGACCGGGCACCATGGCGACGCAACCAGTTGCCGCCACAAACGAAATATACAATCTGGTAGCGCAACCAAGGGGACATCAGAGGGTTCGAGTTTCTTTTTCGTTTAAAGTAATCGTAACGAGTACGCGTTCGACGCTGTAATTGGCCGGCTCTAATGAACCAACCAATCAGAGCACAGAACGCTGTCCGTTTCGATTACTTTAAACGAAAAAGAAACTCGTACTAAGGCCTCAGGTAAATCTCTATAGAGCTGTATACATTATATTGGTAGCGATGACTGGTTGCGCCGCCATGGTGTACCGGCCTTTAAGATATCGTCAAAAAATATGAAGACTTATTTAATTAATTCAGCCACATGTTACATAGTATTTGACTGATGTTTGTTCCATAAAATAACTATAATATAGTGTCTATAGCGGTACAAGACTTTAAGTAGAAAACAAGCAAATTGCACTGCATAATATCTAGATTACTACCTTGAGTGAAATACTGTTGATTGAAATTCTGTAACGATTTTACCGCAAGTAACGTTATTAAAGTTACCTAACTTATTATGTTTAAGCAACATTATTAGCTGCGGTCTTGTTTAATAACATTGTAATTTAATATTAGCACAAGAAGCTGTCTGTTTTTGACTCGTAAGGGAACATCTCACGGAGTACATTCACCTATTAAAGGGATTGTCAGACACCAGACTAAAAGAAAAAGCTACTTTAATAGCTTTTCAAACATAATTTGATGAAAGTAGTACGTAGAATCTTTTCTACGATTTTGGCAGTTTCGTGTTGATGTGCATGATAAACAATTGCTCTATAAAAAAGATAAATGCATCGTAGATGGCATACCATCGAAGCTAAAGGTTAACAATGAAACTACAGTACAAACAGTTGTAATGCCGTATCTTAATGTTTACTTCTTCTAAGAATTAAAGAATACGTCACGCGAGTGTGAAAGTCGGATAGTCTGGTCATCGCCCCATGGAATTTCCACTTTTGTATGTGTAGGCTCTGAAATAACTTGTTGATCACGATTTGTTTGCTTTATCCATATCTAAACAGATAAACCTATAGTTGTCGTGACGATAAATTACTTATTTGTCACCAGCCCTCCTCTTGCCGTGGGTGGCAAAGGAGCTGAACAAGGGACAACATTTAATAGAGACCGGGCAGCAGCGTTCTCCGATAAGCGTAATCTTTTAAATTGGGACATTCAACCCGCCTGCCAAACGGGGAAATTATGACAAACCCTCTTATGAAGAGAAGTTTACGCTCGACTGTTGACGATAAATCGTACAAACAAATTCATCAGTATGCTTATTTTAAAGTCATCAACTTTCTGTAATATACATAACATATGCGACGAGAAAATATGATTTCCGATATTGAATAATATAAGTATAAATACTAATGGATTTCTAACCTCAGCAGAGAACTTTTCCGGAAGAGAGCACAAGGCTACAACTTATGGAATGTGTGATCATGAATTCCACATGGCGACCTCATATATGTATGAGCGCAATAGCGGCCGTGCCACTTAACACAACTAGGTAGTATTTATTCATTGATTCGCATGATACGTTATTCATTGAAGTTTCAAAGATAATGTATTGTAATGCACTAGATACAAAGCGGTGTTTCCCCTAAACGCAGTTTTCTAGCAAGGAAAACTTACAATATCATTAGTTGATGTTTTTGGTGGGGAAACCCCATAATTCTGATTACAACGGTATCATGACGTGGCACCGCAACTTATTAAATTGTCATTTAATATTATAGAAGAAATAGTTTTATCAAACCGTGGCCTCTTATCTGACGCCATTATTATTGCATTAGCGTTGTAATGATTATTATTCAAGTTCTAAGACCGTTAGTGTACTGTGAAAGATAGACTATTTTAGCATTGAAGTAGTGATGCTAACCCTTACGACCGGTAATGAATCGCTGTAAAAACAATGGCTACCAGAGCTGCTATAAACAAAGTAAGTGGCTGTATATTAAATTAAGCTGCGGTTAGGAGTAATCTAATATTACTTCCTCTAGCTTTATCGTATCCTGGCTCAGTGCCAGGCCGTTGTCCAACGAAATCTTCTTCTATTCAATCATGTCGCTAATTTGTTTAGGATATCAAAACTTGAAGCTAAGTCAGCAGCGAATCGCGTCTAGACTGTAAAATCAATATGTAAATATTCGAGACATATTCGAAAGTGTATTGACATCTGCAGTGGATACGGTACGTCTAGTAATATATCTGTGAAAGAGAGTCGTAGTCGTTAATAATACAGTGGTTACAACGCCTTGCGGACACTGCGTTACGCTGAGATCCAATCGATATTCGATGCGAACTGAATAGGCGGCCATGTGCAATATTTATAGGTAGAGCGTTGCGGAGCATTGCTCTCTAGG